CTGTAATTGCTGTGCTTGTGAGCAGTACACACTCTTAGCCTAAAATTAAAAAGTTGGCATGGCCTTTCTAGATGGTAGGCACATTTGTTGTGAATTTAAAAATGGCTTAACACAGATTTTATGGTTCTTATTCTCTCACCAATTTTCAGGAGGAGGTTTTTAAAAAGCGAGAGTCAGATGACTGTGTTGTAGATTGGGATCATTGCAAAAGAAATCCAAACCCTTGTCACAGTGTGGAAGTGAGCCAAGAGGCTTGGAATCAGAAACACCTAGAATTAGGCAGGTGCTGTCCCTTAGTGACTGCAATCTTAGATAAATCACCTGTGTGAGCCTGTTTCCTCATTCAGAATGAGAGCAATCCCATCTCCGTCCGTGCGTGCATGCGTGTGTCCGTCTGTCCGTCCGTCCATCCAACAGATGTTTATTAGCTGCTGTTCTGCCACATAACAAATAACCCCGAAACTTTGTATCTTAAAACAGTAATCATTTTATTATATCGCATGATTTTTGTGGGTCTGGGATTTGGATAGGGCTCAGCTGGGTGGTTTTCTGCTCTGTATGGTCCAGGTCACTCATGGTATTAACTGGTGAATGGGCTGGTCTGGAGGGATTGTGACTCTTCACTCCCATGTCTGGTGCTTTTTGGGGGATGGCTGGAATGCTAAACACAGCTGGGATTGTCAACTGGAGCATGTGTGGCCTCTCCAGCATGGTAGTGTTAGGGTAGTTTTACTTCTTTAGATGTGTGACTCGTCTCCCAGAGAGAGTGTTGCAAGAGACAAGAGTTAGAAGCTGCCAGTTTCTTAAAGCCAGGACCCAGAAACCGGCAGTGTCACTTCTGCTATATTCTATTGGTCACAATAGATACTGCCTTGCCTAGATTATAGTTAGGAGGGACATAAACTCCACACTTCTTAGTGGGAAGAAGGTCAAATAATTTATAGCTATCTTTATTTTGCCATGAGTGCCTGCTATGTGCGAGGTACCATTTTAGGTGCTGGAGATACAGCAGTAAACAAAATACAAAAAAATCCCTGCCCTCGTGGAACTTACATTCTGTTGGCGGGAGACTGCAAACAAAATCCATAGATTAAATGCTACATTCAAAGATGCTATCAGGAAGAATCATGAAAGGAAGGAGTGTGGAGAGGGAGGTTGTGGCGGGGCTAGTGCTGGTGATTTTATGAGGGATGGTCAGGGAAAACTGGACCGCGGTGACATTTGAGCACAAACTTGGTGGAAATGAGGCAGCAGCCTGGAGAAACGTTCCAGGCAGAGAGAGCAGCAAGCGTAAAGGTCTTGAGCTGGGAGTATCTGTGGCGTGTAAGAGAAACAGCAAGACAGGCAGGTTGCCAGAGCAGAACAGGTTGATGGGAGAGCAGCAGGAGGAGACGTTGGCGAGGTAGTGGGGGGCGCAGGTGGAGGAGGGCCTCACGTGACTTCATATAAAGCGCCTCGCCCAGTGCCTGGCACAATAGTAGCCATTTGACACACCGTGGCTTTTATTACCCATGTAAACCAGGTGTGGGTGCTCCCAGGTCCTCACTCCACTGCCCGCTGCTCAGCCGCAGCAGCTCTGCCCTGGTGCATGTTCTCGTTCTGGTCCGTGACAGCTCACAGAACACAGGAAGGCAAAAAATAAATAAATAAATAAATAACGAAAGTTTTGAAAGGTGAACCCTCATAATCTACCTCACGTCTATAATAGCATCAGTAAGACAGATGGACTTTGCGTTAGTGGCTTTTCTGAGATAGGGGGCAGTGAGTTTGTGTGTGTGTGTTTGTGTGGGCACACCGTGGGTGATTCTTGAGAGATCAACTTTTCAGTTAGAACCATCCTGGAAAGTATTTTTATTAATGGCCAGGCAATTTGCACAAGGAGAAATCCAAACGGTTGTCAAATATATGGAAACATGGTGCCAATCAAAGAAATGCAAATGTAGACTCTTGCAAAGAACCATTTCATACCAATTAACAAACATTTAAGAAAATATCAGCACTGGTGAGAAATCAAAAGTCAGGAAAAAACCTGCTTTATGCACAGAGCTATTTTTTGCTGTGTTATCTGTAAGAACAAATGGTCTGAGACAGTAGGGAGATAGATAAGTGAGTTATGTTATACTCAATGAAATGGAGAAGTATGAAGGTCATGTGGTATCTTTCCCTGAGCATTGCCTAGTGACCACATCTTGCCTTTCCCTTGGACTAGAATTGAGAAAAAGCCCAGTTTTACACCCAGGTGTAGCAGCTTTGTAGACTTCTCTACTTTTTAAAAAATAACTCTTCTCTTGACTCTTAAAGGTTTGTTCTTTTTGTATCATCATTATTCAGTTGCTATGTGTTCTTCGTAGGTTGTGGTATAATGAAATAAATAAAGTAAAATGTGAAAAAAGCCAGACCAAATTTAAAATTCTATAAAAATTATGGCTGTAGGTAGACAAGGACCAGTATGAATATCTACAGTTTGAAAATGGTTTAATTTGTTGGCAAGACTGTATTGTGGGAGAATGTTCTTATTCTTTAACTTTAGAATTCTGGTAATGTTGCTTTAGTATTATTTGTATGATAAAAAAAAGCTTTCCTCTCTCTAGAATTGAATTTCTATTTACTGACATTTACAATGCATGATAGGTTCTTGGTCCAGTTGTTTTAGATTAAAGGTTTAGGGCAATCTTATCATCATCTGTTTGCCCAAGGGGAAAAAAAACATTTCATTTTAAAGTGGTTTGTTTTTTTTTTGACAAAACGTTACTTTAAAAATGTTTACTTTACCTCCCATTATGAATATAGTCTATACTTAGTATAAAATATATTAAAAATTGAGAAAAATAGCGTCATTAAAAACTCATCTATGATCTCATGTTTTGGTATTTCTTCCAGGTTTTTAGTGATTTTTTTTAAAACTATTATGGAATTTCAAATATACACAAAAGGAGAAAGAATCAACCTCTGTGTACTTGTCACCTAGCTTCAGCAATCAAACTCATAACTAACCTTGTTTCATCCATGCTCTCCCCCATCTCCCTCCCTTTCAACACTGAAATATTTTAAGCATCTCCCAGACATGTTATTTTATCAAGTTTTCAGTATATTAAAAAAAAAAAATACCATTTTTACTTCAGAAAGTTCAGTCAGTATTACCAAATAGCAAATTGACTTTTAGATTTCCTGATTGTTTCATTTAAAAATTGTCTTAAACAGTTTGTTCAATTTATGATCCAGACAAGGCATACACATTATATTGATTGATATATCTCTTAAAAATCTTTTTATTTTGAAATAATTTTAGACATAGAGGAAAGAATAATATAGAGAGTTCCTATATATCCTTCACCCAACTTCCCCAACCCCCAGGCTGTGGACTGGTACCGGTCTGTGGCCAGTTAGGAACCGGGCTCACAGAAAGAGGTGAGCGGCAGGTGAGCAAGCGAAGCTTCATCTGTATCTGCAGCCGCTCCCCAGCTCTGGCATCACTGCCTCAGCTCCACCTCAGATCGTCAGGCATTAGATTCTCGTAGGAGCTCCGGTCCCTTGTGCCAAAAAGTTGGGGATCACTGTGTAAGTAAGCCATTATCATCGTGATTTATTTTGTTGCTCAGACTGCCCCAGATTCAGACATTGGAATCTCCTTCAGATTGATTCCTGTGTTGTTTCAACATGCCCCATCATTTTTTGAGCACTTACTTACTTTCTAGGATCAAAGTTGTCCTCCACTCATCTTTTTTTTTTTTTACCCCAGTCCTGGAATCAACCATTTCTTTAAAAACCCCTTTTATTTAAGAAGAATATTTAGAAACCGAGGTTCGAATGACAGATGTCCTCATTATACCGGAGTGTCATTACTTCTAGACCTTTGTCAGGGGACAGAGCTTAGAAATACATGTATTCATATACTGATACATACATACACATATTTATATTTCTATGTCCAACTATGTGAGAGTGTGTGTGTGTACATATATATTAAGGAAGTTAGGGAAGACTAGAATGAACTCCGGAATCAGTATGAATTCATGAATTCACACTAACTGTCCTTAACTTTCTTAATTGTTATTCGATCCACAAGTTCTCCCTCCTTTTTCCCCCTTAAAATTTATTTGTTAAATAAATTAGGTCTTTGTTCTTTACAGTTTTTCACATTCTGGGTTTGCTTGTTGTGTTTTTGTAATGTCATTTGTTTCTCTGCTGACTCTCTTTCTAGTAAACTGGTAGATAGATAAGATGCATGATCAAATTCAGGTTTAATTTTTGGCAAGATTTACATTATAGGTCGTTTGTACTTCCAATAGAAGATACAGAATATTTGATAATTCCCATTTTTGTGATGTTACTTGCCATTGATAACCGTTTGCAAAATGGTGATAATTTAATCTCCTCATTCCTTCTTCATTTATAGCTGAATACTTTTATAGAGAAATAATTACTTTTCGTCATCTAGTTACCTTGGAGTACTGGTCATACAGGAAGGACACACTAAGAATTCACCAAAAGTAGTTGTATTGGTTTTCTATTGCTGCTGTAACAAAGTACCATGACCGTGGTGGCTTAACAACAATTTTTTTTATAGTTCTGGAAATCAGAAGTCTAAAAAGGGTCTTATTGTTATTATTTCGATGTGTTCTCCCATAGCCTTGACAACATTTTGTTTGAACATTTAGAAAACAATCAGCATATTATACAGTATCCTGGTTTGCTTTAACTCATAATTGTGCATTTTTTCATGTCATAATCTTTTTTTAATTTTCTATTGTTGAATATTTAGTTTCTTTCTGGTTTTTCAGAATTAAAAATAATGTTGTGATAAATATCTGTGTAAATTCAAATTTTAGCTTATTCTTAAAGTTGGTTTTCATAAGACTTTAAATGAGAAGGAAGTACACATTCGTTAAATTAAATTCATCTACGAGCTTGCTGTCATACAGCAGTAAGGTAAACCGGTGAGAGATTAGTACCTTAAAATTTTCGTCAAGTAAATTTCGTTTTTTTTATTTTTCTTCTAGGACCTTAGAAACGAAGTTGAGAAATTACGCAACGAAGTGAATGAAAGAGAGAAAGCAGTGGAGAATCGTTACAAGGGTCTGTTGAGTGAAAGCTGTCAAAAATTGCACAGGCAAGGGCAGGTGATCAGACGTCTAGCAGAAAGCACCAGCCAAAAGGACCAGGACTTGTTGCTTCAGGTACCAAAATGTTTTTTCCTTTGTATTTAAATCTTTTGACTCAACATAGTTTTTTTTTTTGTTTTTAACTCTTTCGAAGGAACACTGATGTAAAAAATAAGGATGGCAAAAATGATTATCGTCTTAACTGGCATCTATCAGAGCACTTCAGGGCTTTCCCTGTGTCATTTGGGCCTCAGCCCCCAGGATGGCGTGAGTTTGGAGGAATAGAAGCTCAGCAGAGGGAAGGAACCTATCCTGGGTCACATGACTAGAAATGGCAGGTCCCTTTCAGGCCCTGACTTGTTTTGCTCTCGAGTCATGTCATCTCGCTTCGCTGGGGTCCCTCTGCCGTCAGTACGTGCCGTTCCTTCCTTTTGCCCTGCCCTTTCACGTCACTGTACTTTTCCGCTCACTCATCCTTTTTGTTTTGGAATATCTTCTCGTGAGATCGTGTGGTGAATTTTTGATTCAGCTCAGACTTACAGGTAGCTGTAATGGATTCAACATGCGTATTTAACTCTGCTTCCTTCTGAGTCCTCATTAACATGCAGTGAAGGGGTAAAAGGATACAAACCCACAGGACTAGGAATGGGGTTGGTACCACAGTAGGTTGCTGTTTGTATGATAAGTGGATGGGCAAGTGGAAACTACACAGGATTCCACTTTCTGCACATTCTGGCTCATGCCTTTGGGATGAAAAGCTAACAAGGAGCAAGCCGATTTATCCTGCAGGATCCAGAATGCTCGGCAGGCAGTGGAGGTGTCTGCTGCCTTTGTCAACAGGAGATTCGGCCGGATGCTGGGCAATTAGGGGGCCTTTTTCTCTTCACTAGCAGGAAACGGGAGCTTTACTCTCTGGTGACCTTAAATCAGAGAAGCTCTGGCCTGGGGATCATCAGGTGCATCTGAAAGCAGGAGTGGATCTTTTCAGTGAAAACGAGGAGGAAAACGTGTGCGCATGCAGCCGTGGGATTCCTCCAAGAAAAGACTGAAAGATGCTGACAGTTGGGGGCCCTTTAACGAAACAGCTGAGTCCCCACCTGGCCATCTCACAGTGAGGCTGCCGCTGATAGGCCCTCTCCACACTCACAGAGCTCTGGGCGCTTTTATACTCTTAAAAGTAGTGGCATGCCTTGGGTTCCCGAAACAGGAGAAAAGTGTCTAAGAGGAAATATAGAGGCCAAAGCAGACAGAGCAAAGTCACACAAGAGGTAATAGAAACAGTGGAGGATGGGAAGGAAACTACACAGCTTTTCAACAAATTCAACACTAACAACTTTAGATGAGAAATAAGGTCAGGATCTGATAAAAAGATGTTTGGAAAAGAAGAATGACCTATTGGAAATTGGAAGTATGATTATAGATTTAAAAGAGTTAGACGAGTTGGACGGTAAATTTGAGTAAAGCTTCCAGAAAATAGAATTAAACAAGCAAAAAGATGGGAAAATGGGAGAGAAACGAAGAAATTCGAGGCTTGATTGGAGAGCTCCAATATATGACTGACAGGAGTTCCAGAAAGATAGAAGAGACAAAGCATAGGGAAGGAAATTTTCAAAGTAATAGAAAATTTCCCCATTAGAAGGATAGATAACTCTGCATTGAATGGGCCTGCTCTGTGCCTAGCACAATGAGCGAAAAAAGACCTATAGTCCCATGCATGTCTTTATGAAATTTCAGAACACGGGCAAGGAGAAGATCTGAAAGACTTCGAGAGAGAGGAGAATATGGGTGCACATACAAAGGGCTGTATTTGCATCATTGTGAAGGAGCCTTTCATATGTGATCAGACCCCAAAGTGGTCTCTGCAGTCTTTCCTTTTTCTTCCTGCGAGTCAGATCTCCTCAGAGAGATGGGTGGTTCAAGTTTTGTCAAATCTGTAATGTTTCAGGAGAGACTGAATTTTGTTGGGTTGTGATAGACAATCTCTCCAATCACTGCAATAACCTTGTAGGACGGGAAACAGATCCAGGGGTGACACCCTGGCCAAGGGAGCTCAGGACTGGGGCCTAACCCCAAGCGGCCAGAACCTGAGCTTGCTTCGTCACACCCACGGGGGAGCTGTCATGGCGGCGGCGAGAAGGAAGGTTTGCGTGCGGGCATGCTGCTTTCCTCGCTGTGGTAACGCGTAGATGGAGTGCATTACAGTTTTTTAATTGCCTAATTTCTTGGCGTGATGGAAAGAAAATACTTAGAGGACATATGGATATTGCGAAGAAAAAAATAAAATATATTCCCTTATAGAGTGAGAAAAATCTCTTAATATTTTTTTCTTGATAGAAACTTCCTATGATTTATTTATTTTTTCGTTAGAAATTCAGTGAAAAAGATTCAGAAGCAATACAGCAGCAGAATCGTTCTTTAATGACTGCGGAGGATCTCAAGTTCAGGAGTGAAGACTTAATAACGGAAAAGTGCTCTGCTCAACAGTCACCAGGCAGCAAAAGCATCTTCTCCGAGGTAAGCGTGACTGAAATTGGACGTTCGCATGCGAATTCGTATTCTTTTCTGACAGATATTTGGTAATTCCTTTGATCTAGAGATCCTCAGATGCCATTGTGCTGATAATTGAGCTTACAGCAGGTGAGAGGTGGGGGTCTTCGTCTGTGCTCCTTACAGATTAGTGTCCCACAGCTGAGCTCTGGTGTTTGCACTCACTGCACAGCAGACTGAGAAACCACAGCTCGTTAAGAGGCGAGCCTCATATTTGCTCTCCCAGGGTTCACCTCTTAAGAACTGCGTAATCTCGTGTTAAGAAAACTTTTCTGTTCAAATGCACGGAAAAAAGGGCACAGCAGGCGCTTCCTGGTCTGGCCCCAAGTTCTCTTTCCCCTCTTATTTTCTTTGGTGCCCCATCATCGCTGACAGCAGCTCACTTCTGTGGACTCCTGCCAATGTCACATTTATTTATGCCTTTCTGTGCCTTTGCACATGCTGTTCCATCGGCCTGGAATACCTTTTCCTTCCTTGTTTACCTGGTGACTCCTGAACCTCCCTACATGCCACTCGAGTGTCACCTCCTCTGTGGCACCTTCCCTGAACCCACTTAGTGACAACTCTTCCTCTCTGGTGCACAGCACTTTGTGTGCCTGTCCATCGTAGCACTTCATCATAGTGTTGACGTTACGGGATCCACCTTTCTGCTTTCCCCTCACTCGAGGGCATCTCACATTTGAATCCCGGTGCCGAGCCCAGTGCGTGGCTCAGTAAACGTGTGTTGAGTGAATGAATGATCCTCTTAGTTTGTGAGAGATGTGTAGAGTTTGGGCAGCCAGATACGGGAAAGGAAAGGAATTCACTCTAGGCTAAGTTTTTTTTTTTTTTTATTTTAAAAACTTGTCCTTAATTAAGTTTATACATTCAGAAGACAGAGAACTCTTATGCAAATTAGTTCTCTGATGAGCAGCTCTGCTCACGACTTGTCTCGTGAAGGGTGATTCTCAGAATAATTAACCAGTGCAGCATGGGTACGGCCATTGGAACAGACTCAGGCGGTAGGGCTGGAGCAGGGCCCCGGAGGCCTGCTCTTATGCCAGGCACCAACCCTGTAGTGACTGGGTCCCGGAGAGGTCTCTCGGACTCTGCGGGGAGGGGCTGGCGTGGCTGGGCTGGTCCGGGTGGGTGGGTCAGGGGTTATTTTACAACTGGCGTAGAAGTAGTTCGGGATGTAGCACCAGTTCCAGCCATGCACTGTGCGTCACTCAGCGTCACTCAGTGTCACTCAGCGTCAGCCTTGGGCCGGGGGCTCCATTGGCTGAACACTGGAAGCTCTTTCTTAACTCCGCCCATTTGTGGGTCTTCGTTTTTCTGTGCCTCTGGAGTAAGATGTCAGCATAAGTGGGTGGAGCCCGGGGGCCAGGCCGGAAGTCAGGAGGCCTGGCTTCCTCTTTTGGCTCTGTCACTTCACCTGAGTGACCTAGGGCAACTCTGATGACTAACTGTCATAGGGCTGATATTTTGTGGTTCTAACTTACATATAGTTGTTTGACTGTGACCAAATGTAGTGGGGCGCTAAGATGCAGCCTGTAGTAGTAAGGCGCAGTCTGCTTAGGTAGACAGATCTTCACTCCTTTGAATACATTTAAACTTGACTATTTTGAGTCATGTTTTAGTCATGTAAAAAGTGTCTCAGTGTCGAACAGAATGTTTATAAATTTATTGAACAGGCCGAGTATTTCAAAATTGAATCTCACTGGCTTGACTGTCCTCACCACTTTTAGTTTGTGATGCTGGGCGGTGTCTGCGCTTTCATGTAACCACAAGCGTAAAGTCATTTCATGGGCATTTCGGTTATATTTAGATCCTGATGATGTTTAAATTACTGTGCAAAATATCTCTTAAGGGTCTTAATTCTGTTCTGCAAGGGTCTTAATTCTGTTCTGCAAGACTAATTGCAAATTGTGGATAAGGAATTATAAAATTATCATTTAAGAGTTGTAGATTTCTAGGTATCAGCTTAAGAAATCCAAACTGTTGCAGCCTACAGCCCCTGCCCCCGCCACACACCCGGAAGGGTATACTTTTCAGATTTTAATTCTTCTTCGTAGAAAACGTGGATTTTTCTCTACTATGCCCTTGGCCATTTTGTGTTGATTTAGGTTTTCTCCTCTGCCTGTTTCTACAGAGGACTTGAAGCTGTGATGATGTCTCCATTGACTCTGGGCTGTCTGTTTTCCTTCTAATCATTGTGTGAGCCTAAGAATTAATGCTGGATGATCAGGGAATTGAAGAACAGAGAATAAAACACTCTGACCATATTTACCTTGCCGCGGCCTGAGATTTCCAGCTTGGCTATTGACATGGTTAGGACATGGCTGCTGAATTTCCTCAGTATTAAAATAAATGTCTTTGTTGCAGAGCTGTGACACAGCTACGAAGACAGACACTGTCTATCTGCCAGGACACTAAATCGCCCTGATTATCAACAAGTGAGCCGTTAAATTTTCTCTTTACGAATCTGCTGCCTTTCCAGATTATGGTCAGCAGATTACATGCGTTTCCTTCAAGTCATTAAAGAAACTACGATAGAGTAGAAAATGCCTCTGTGACCTTGGGCGGGTCACTTCATCTCTCTGAAACTCATCTTCCCAATCTAGAAAATGGGAAATTACATGCTTATTTCCTGAGAGGATTAGAAATAGTGTATTTTAGTTAAGACCCTTTCGGTGGCAAGCTATAGAATCAAACATTGCATATTTGAGCAAAACAATAAGGGAAGGTCATGTTTATTGGGAACATGCTGGAGGCCGTCACTGATGCCAAGGGAGAGTTGAGTAGCCATTGGGGGAGTGAGGGCGGGAAGACCGCAGCAGCCATGTGGACAATAGAAGTTGATGACTCTGGGGCTCTGTCTTTGCCGTGACTCACACCCAGTGACTCCCGGACCTCTGATGTCTCATTCTGAATTTCTGAATCCCTGGAGAGAATTGTACTGGTTTAGTGTAGACACAGGGGCTGGCTAACAGGGGAGAGGGGTCTTCTAGGGACTCGCCCTTGTGTCTGAGGGACAGATCTCAGATGAAGCAGGGGAATGGTGGTGAACTGGGTGATTATTTGTGAGCTGTGGAAAACGAACTACAGAGCCGGACACACAGTAAATTTGTGGTGATCGTGAGTCTTCTGTGGCATGAGCAGCCTCCTGTCTGGGTTGTTTCTTGTCTGGAGGGGCAGAATGGAAGGCGGAGGATGAGGGCTGCAGGGTGGGGGTTTGGTCGCTCCCACTCAGAGGTGCTTCTCCTTATCTTGCCCTGGGCAGCCCGGCCCTCCGCCTCTGTGCCGAGGAGATCCACTGGTGTGTCAGCTCTGCTGAGGGAGCCAAATGACTTCATTCTAATGGGGCATGATTCAACGCAGGGGACTAGGTGATTGATGAAATGGACCCAAATGGCTCCGAAGAGTTCATTTATTTAACATGGGTGAACAATTTGCTTCTAGGAAGATGTTGACTCACTCTGACTTCCATTATGCAAAATATCCACAGGAATCTGTGCTCTTAAGATTCATATCGGTTCCTGTGTTCCCTCCTTCCCTATTTAATCATCAGGTCACCAAGTATTTGTGGCAACGTTCGACCTGTGCCAGGCACTGCCCATGAGGAGCCCCCAGTCCTGGAAATAGGTGGATGGGTCACCAGCCCCGGGGTGAGAGTGAACCAGGGTCACGGGGCGGGAAGAGCGCATCTCTGTCAGGGGAGGCTTCGGGGGGAGAGTTTGGCCTGAGCCAATTCCATAAGGTGCCTGGAGTGTGTCTGTGGAAGGGGTGGCTGATGGGTGTGATCTCTGAAGGGGAGTCCCACGGATGGGGAAGGGCAGGAGGGGGTCGGAGGGTGCGGGCTGAGGACAGCGGTGACCTGAGAAACCTGGTGAAGACTTGGACCGGCCGCCAGAAAGAAGAGCAGGGGGCACGGAGCCAGGAGCCCAGGCCTTGACGCCAACATCGCAGTGGGTGGTCCCCAGGGCTTGAGGCCCCGCCCGCAGCGACCCAGTTAGGGTGCGTGGTTCCCAGGGCCGGGATTGTTTCGTTGGGCACGTACGTTCCACGTACAAATTACGACTGTCAGCTGAACGGACTCCAATAAGTTACTTCTCCTCTCAGAAAATCAGTTTTCTTCATCTGAAAAGTGGGAAGGTTAATATACCTGCCTGGGTGGGTGTGATTAGAGATCATCTGTGCAAAGTACCTGGCATAGCACTGGAGCGTAGGAGTAATAGTTATGGCTGACATTTAGCGAGTGTTTACGCCATGCCAGGCATCCTTCCGAGAACTTTGTATAGATTAACTCTTTTAATCTCCTTAGCAACCCTATGCAATGTGTAGAATTATTACCTCCATTTATAGGTGAGGACATGGAACCACAGAGACGCTGAGTAACTTGTTCAACTTGTTCAGGGTCATGGTTGATAAGGTCACACACACACTAATCATCACTGCCACTCATGCTAGGTGCTCGAGAAACGGTAAGTTTTTTTATTTTCTATGTCACCGTTGGCCGGCTTTTATGTGGCTGACGGTGATGACGTTACCTCTTTTTTAAAGCACCCAGTGCTTTGTATCTTTTATGGGGCATTGGCAGGTGGACCTGGAGCCCAGCTGCCTGAGTCCACACCCTGCCTCCCACTCTGACCTTGGGCACGCACTTGGCCCTCTGTGCCATTTGGGGAGAGTGGGAACACCTGAGCTCATCGGGTTGTTGTGGGAATTAAAGGAGAAAATGCCCGGAAGGCACTGAGCACAGGACAGTGGCTGACAAGCCGAGGACTCGATAGCCCTTTGCCCTGATACCTGCGGAATTCTTCCCCAGTCTGTTCTCTGGGACCCTCTGTTCGCGCATGGTGTTTAGAGGTGGGAGCCGGGAGGACCCCACATGACGCTGACACTGTGCACAAAAGGCATGCGGGAACTCCTTGTGCCAGTGACATGTGGCAGGATTTACAAAAAGGTCTGACATTTCTAGCTGCCTCGGTGACTGACTTATTATGACCAAACTGGTGGTTTAGCATTTATTTAAACCTTTAATTAGCAGGTGGTGCCTTTGCCTTGTTTTGTTCAGGACTAGAACATAGCCGTATTCTCTCACATCAGGGGTTCAGCTGTTTTTTGCCCTCGGCATCCCTTTGGTAGTCTGCTGAAACCAAGGACCTCTTGCCTGAAAAAAACCCTTAAATGCGTAGGATTATAAAGGAAACCAATTCTTTTGAAATTTAGGCATCGAAATATTAAAACATATACTAAAATGGTGCTTGTTTATTAATGCATTAAATAACACGATCGAGTGGTGAGCATAGTGACTACCGTAGTTTTGAAGTACTGATAAGAAGCATTTTGCGATATCCACAACATATACAAAGTACCTATTTCTTTCATTGACAGTTGCAGGAAAACATTACTACTGTGGTTTGTAGCAATAGCAGTATCCTGTCAAGTCATCATTAAGGGATGCTAAGTTTCAGTTAGAGGTTAGTGAAAATAAAGATGTAATTCCCCTCCCCCCTTTCGTGTTCATCCAGCCCCTGAGTTTTAATCAGGTTAAGAACTCCTGTCCTAGGTAGAATCTTAACTTCAGGAGAAAGCACAAGCCAGTGAGAAATGCAAGGGCGGCTTGCCGCCTCATTCTCTCCAGTAACCCAGGGTCTCTCTCCCAGCACTAAGAGAACATCTAGTCTGCGCTGGGCACTGTTCTTCAAATTTTCACCCACAGTTTTAGCATCCTTTTATGTTTCTTGGCTGATTTATTTATTATCATGATGGTAAATGGTGATTTTTTAAAGTTTATCATTTCTTCTACATTTATTAGGAATAAAGAAAATCCCTTCTTCCCACTTATTCATTGATTCATGTCAGCGTGGACTCATGAATTCTATTTTATTTAGTAGACGATAATCTGTTACTATCGTTATTTATTTTGCTGCTCACATTGTTCCAGATTTGGCCTTTTCAGACTGGCTCTTCTGTTCCTCTAACATATCCATCATCGTTTAAGCAGCTCCTTATTTTCTGTCACGAAAAATGCTGTAGACGTATCTTCCATTGTCCTTGGTTTTCTTGACCCAGTACTGGCACTGGCCATTTCTCTCAGGATCCATGGTTCCTTATACTACACAATTTAAATTTTATCTGCTCCATGACGCCGTGAGGTGGTGGTTATTGTCCACCATTTTACAGGTAGGAGTTCCAAGGCTTCAGTAAGTAACTTCCTGAGATCCCAGAACTGGTGAGTGGCAGGGCCAAAATTTGAACTTTAACAAAAATATCACATTTGTGAATGCTGATTCACAACATTACACCCCCACTTCATAAATAAGGAGACTAAACCTTGTAGAGGTTTGTTAAGCTAGTTACTTACCTAGGCCGCCCAGCTTCTACCTCCCATCTCTGTCGTCACTGTTAGGGATGCCGGTAAAATGTGTCACCTCTTCTACTTTATGGAAGTCCCTCGCCCTTAATACTTGTCAGGTTTTGGTTTCTGAATTTCTTTTCTTTGGAACAAGAACAAGTGTGGAAGGGCATTCTTTGTGGTGTCGTGAAAACGTTGACCCGCTCTGAGGGGTGGCTGTTTCACGCAGGGCGGGTGGGGTTCACTGTGATGAATTCTTCCGTAGCAGCTACTTCGGGTTAGAAGCACAGCGTTCAGCTTTATTCTGAGGTAAGCGATGGTCATTCCCCGCTCCTCCTGCAGGTGGTGCTCTCTGACTGTGGCCTGATCCAGAGCCTGGCACAGGGGATCTGTCACCTTCATCTGGATTTAGAAACCAGAACTATCCACATATGTTTGCATAATGTAAGGATGTGCTCTTTCAAAATTCTTCCCCTAATGTCAGATGCTCGTTGTCATTTCCAGGAAAAGCAACAATTAGAATATGAAGAACTGATTCAGGTGTTAAAGAAAGAGCAGGACATCTATGCCCACCTGGTAAAATCTCTGCAGGACTCGGACAGGTAAGGGCTTCTGGTCAGACGTCACACGCGTGTGAATGTGACCACACACGCACATGCACACACACGTATTTTGAATAAATGCTTGTAGTTTCTGAGGCTGCGAAGCCCTATAAGTTTGTTTAGGAAGCTTAAAGTGCTTGGATGGTGATCGCCTAATTTAAATCACATATACCTATTTTCTGTCAAGAATTGTCTACTTTTGGCAACAAACTTAGGGTAAAAATATAATAATCACTCAGGTTTTTATAATACTTTATATATAGACTTAGAAAGTGCTTCTACGTATTATCTCAAATGAGCCTCACAGCTGTTCAGTGAGGTAAATAATAATGTTATTCCTATTTTTCATAAAAAGAAGTTAAGTGATTCATCCAAAGTCACACAGGTGGTGCGTGACAGAATCCTGGGACTCAAACAAGTCTCCATGTCTTGGAGTGAGTTATGTCTCTGCAGAATTGCTGAAGTAATTTGGTGCCCGTGAGATGTGGTGAGGAGAGTTGGTTACAGGCTGGTGGTCTTGTTCTAGCCCGGGCTCTGTGTCCACGGACGAGTGGCCCTCTCTGGGCCTCTGTTGGTCCCTCTGTAAATATAGGTTGGCCTCAGCGATGTCTCCTATTAAGAAGTCATCTCTCTACACACTGGGATAGTTACAGGTGAACTGGTGACGTCTGGGGTTCATTTCAGAGCAGTGCAGAGCAGACGTGGGCAGGGAACGAGAATGGCCATGGCTCCTGGCGGTTGGGGCCGGGTGTGGGTAGAGGCGGGAGGGGCTCCTTCCAGCCCAGTTTGTCTTCCTTTATATGTGGCTTAAGTTTTCCATAATAAAAAGTTTTTTTTTAAAAAAATCACCCTTTATTTTAAAATAAATTTTAAAATAAATTATTTAAAAAAATCAGCTCCTTCTCATATGCCCTTCACTTTAGCCATAATGAAGCCTTCGTACGTCTCCCCGGGCCGTGTGCTCTCCTGTCTCTGCCCTCGCGTGGGTTCCCACACCCTGCTGTGTCCCCCACGAGTCCTTGAGCTTTCCTCTTGGGGGTTACCCTTGTCAGGAGGCCTGCGCGCACCCCCAGGAAAGTTGCCCCCTCTGTTTCTGCCCTCACAGCTGCCCTGGTGACCTTTGTGACCTGCCTCCTCGTCTGGGTCATGAGCTCCCTCAGCACAGGGTCCTGTCTTGCTTGTCTCCATCTCCCAGTGCCTGTCACAGGAGCCGGTATAGAGGAGGCACTTGGGAAATGTTCAATGTTCTGTAGATGAATACACCCCCCCACCCCAGCCTTCTAAGTTATGAGATAATTTTTCAGATTTTAAAACCTGAAATGGTTTAGGGAAAGTGAAAACAGGCTGATGAAATTCTGGGAGTAGCTTCACTCTCTGAAAGGGAGCATTTTCCAGAACCTTCAGTTGCCAGGCATTTTCACTTGGGGGAGTGGTTGAGTACTGTGGGAAGCTCAAAGAAGGGATGGGCGAAGGGAGTTGAAGTGTGCGGTTTCTCCCAGATTCGATTCTGAGAACTGAGCTGAGAGGCCCTGTGCGTGGACACATCGCTCTCCAGCCCCCTCAGCATCACGGATGGCTCTGGGTTTCATAGGCTCTTCCTTAATGTGTAGAAATGTGGGGTGGGCCCGAGGCGGGTCTGCCTGTGACTGACAAGGAGGCTTAAAAGGTTTCCTGTTCATCTTCACAGTCAAAATACATTTAGGGTGAGCTAGGCCTGGGTCCAGAGCCCAGCTCTGCCACTCGCAGCTCTGCGTCTTGGAGTAAATCACCTTTCACCTTGAGCCTCAGCATATGTGTCTGCGCAGTTAGATCGGCTGGCCTCCCTCCCTCTTCCCCTCCTTCCCCGCCTACCCACACTTGCGGACCCCCACGGCTCAGCTCTCCTTGGCCCCCGGGTCTGGGTCCTTACTGAGACACAGCCTGTCCTGAGAACTAGTACAGTTTGCACTTCCCCGGGACTTGGATTCTCACCCTCGGCACTGTTGGCGTTTGGGGCTGGATCACTTTGTTAGGAGGGGCTGCCCTGGCTTTCACCGCCACAGGCCAGTAGCGCCCTTGCCTGCCCCAGTTGTGAGAACCAGCAGTGTCTCCAGATACTGCCACATGTCCCCCAGGTGGCAAAACTGTCTCCAGATAAGAATCACTATTGTAACTCACAGGAATCAGAAATTTTGGCTTATAAATATTATCTTTTGTTTGGCAGTTGTTAGGATGTGTGGAAGGAAGGAAATGATGTTTTTTGAGCATCTGCTGTGCGTTAGGCACCGTGCCATGCTCTCTCCCACATAACATCGCATTTAATCCTCAGGACAGTCCTGAAGGAGAGCTGTGACCCCTGCTTTACGGAGGAGGAAACGGGAACTCGGGCAGTTTGACCGCCTGGCCTGCGGTCCCGGAGCCCCTCGTGGTGTGCTCCTTGGAGTTTGGGTCTCCGACTCCTCATTTCTGCCTCTTCCCCCACTGCGTTCCAGAAAGAGGAGTGCACAGGGCTCTCGCGTCTTTCTGAGCGAAGCATCTTTTGTTCCCCTAACTCCTCACACCTCGAAAAGATTCTGGAGTTGGGGCAGCATAGATGACAGACACGGGCGCAGCAGCTGTGTACTTTTCACCCTGTCAGAAAGCAGAAGGGGGAGTGAAGCAGTTAGCGTTCCCGGCCCTAATCGCAGGAGCTTCGCTGAAACAGTCTCTTTTTTTTCACCTGGTTGAATGTCTCTGTAGCACGACCGCATCCAAGCGAGTGCTGTGCTGTGACACCTCTGTAAGGTTTTCCATCAGCCTTACAAATGGATCATTATGATTGTCTTGAAATGGAAGTAGGTACAAGGCGCTAGTAGGGTTCCTTGCCTTGCAAGAAGGCTGCTTCGCAATGAGCCATCGTCGAGGCAGCAAGCACAGAAGATTAGACATAATGGTTTGTTTTTCTTCCAATATATGTTGATTTATGTGTGCAGTCCGATGGATGGAGCGGGAAGAAATTTCTGAAGGAGAAGTGGGGCTCGCCTCTCCAGCACATGTATCTAGAGCGATAGCTCCTATCCATGGTGGGGCTGTGGACCCCTTGTGAAAAATCTGTTGAAATCTTTCGGGCCCTCTCCCTAGAAAAAAGCCACATATTCATAAATTTCTGTAGACAGTTTCAAGGTGTTGATGGAGACTCTCAGAGAACCATAGGTGAGACGCTGGACAGGGAGTGATGTATTTCTTGGTGTCTCAAAAAGGAGGCTTTTGATTTGTTAGCGTGTTTTGGTAGTCTCGAAAAACGTTCATATGCTGTGAACCCAGTAATTGCACTGCTAAGAATTTGTCTTAAGAAACTACCCTGCGTCTGAAACAAGGCTTTAGACACCGAGTTCAGTGAAACGTTATTTATGTTATGCAGATGTCGACTGGGGCCTCTGCTCTCTGAGAGCTGGGTGTGGAGCGTGCACATCAGTAGCAGTTCAGAGCCCAATTAGGGGATCCTCCAGCCCAATTAGTAGCCACTAGCCATGTGACTATTTACATTTAAATTTTAAAAAAGTATCCGGTTCCTCCGTGTGTCAGTCACAGTTTAAATGCCCAGTGGGCACACTTGGCTCGTGGCCGTGGTATTAGCACAGACACAGAACATTTCCATCATTGGAAAAATTCTGTCGGACAGCCCTCCCCACGATGAAAGCGGATTCTGGGAGCTGTGTGTTTTCTTGGCCTCCTCCGAGTTCTGGCTTGTGCTCTGCAGCTCAGCACTGTATCACAGCGACTGCGATATGAAACGTGACACCCCCCAAAAGTAAGAGTGTGTTCTAGGATGTATTCGTGAGTGGCTGACCCATCCCAGTGGAGTTCTCTTGGCTCCAAAATTGGTCTTTCTCTCCCTCCTTTTATCGACTCATTCTTTCTTTTTTTCTCTTTTTTTCCTGCCCCTCACCTTTACCCTGGTACCACCTCTTTTTGGAGTGACACAACCGGTGTTCTCCCTTGTCTCCTCTTCTGAGCCCAGGGGTCAGGTGACACCCGAGCTCTAGAGAGCCACGCTTTCCGTACCCAAGCCTCACAAGGCATTTTCCAGAGAAGCATTCTGCAGAGTTAAACTATTTTTACCTAGTTCTGTGTACCAAAAACTTGGAAATGATCCCGATGTCCACTATAAGGGGGTGAGTTAAAGTAAATGGTGAGACATTTACCTGTTAATAGTATAGAGTCATAAAAAATGATGTTTGCAAATAATTCCCAAAAACGTAGGGAAGTCTTTAAGTGAAGATTGCGCAGGTTAGCATTGTACACCCAGAATTATTTCAACCTCGTAAAAACACTCAGGAAATACAATCTGCCATGTGTTAATTGATAGTGGGATCATGGTAATTTTTGTTTTCTTTATGTTTTTCTCTTATATTATAAATCTTCTATAATAAACACGTATTTACTTTTACAACTAGAGAAAAACACCAATGACATAAAAAGCGAAGGAAGGCTTGCTGTGTTTTGCATCTTAAAGCACAAATAGGTCTGTTTTAAAATTTCTGGTGTCTTGTTTTACCAAGTGTCAACAAACTGCAGGCTGAATTAAGCAACATTTTAGCCCTGCGGAAGCAGCTGGAGCGGGATGTGCTCTCCTACCGGAATTTGCAAAAGACGCTGGAGGAGCAGATCAGCGAAATTCGGAGGCGGGAAGGTACTCACTGTCTTATATGTATTTCCCGTTGGTTTTTCCACTTGGAGGGCCTTGACTGAACTTTAGGGGAGTCCTAAAACTCCAGTAGGAGATGACGCACCCACAGGATCTCATCTAGATCTCATCTGGGGATCCTTTTCTGTGGTGACTGTTCATGTTGGCTCTCCCAGACTGTATCTAGCTGGTTTGGGCCCTCATTGTAGAAGGCCCAGCAAACTGCATTAATTCTGCAGAGGGTCTGCTGCAGGATGCTGACCTGCTGCTGCCTGTACTGTGTTCTGCATCATTTGTTGCTTCTAGCTTCAGAGAGCCTTAGAAATAAATTCGCCATCCCCTTTCTCTGGGAAACAGCCCTCATTGCCCAAAATGTCTGGGCTCTGCCTACCACAGCGCCCCATGCCGGGAGCCCTGACCACAGACACGTGGGGGTGAGGTTGCCGTTTCATGGTAAAACGTCACTTGTCGCATTGCCACGACCGCGAGTGGATTCACTTAGGGAGGGCTGAGGGTCCCGTGGTCCTTGCCCTGCTGTTGCCATCACAGTGACATTTGGCCTTCGCCCGTCCTAGAACCTGAGCCCCTGAGCGTCTGGGTGGGAATCTTCTTCCTTTCTGTATCTCTAGCCTGGGGCATGGCACACGTGGTGAAAATCGGCCATAGCTTTGGTAGGTTTGACATTTGTCGAGCACCTACTGCGTACAAGGCACAGCGTCAGGCACTTGACCTCTCATCCCTGATCCTGATGGTCATCCCGTTAGGTAGAGTAGGTATTGACTTCACTTTACACCAGAAGAAACTGAGGTTCAGGGGCAGGGGTTGGTTTACCCAGATGTGAGCCAGGACATCATCCTTCACAGTGTAGCTCTTTTCAGTGTGTTAGGTGTATCTGCTCTTTCCCATGTGTGTTAAACGAGATCACATCAATAAGTAGCCTGCCCCTCCTCTGTGCTTTTCTTCCCTATTAGGATGTGACCTTTGTGGCAGAGGAGGCAGACCCTTATGTAGGTGACCATATTCTCTTAACTCAGATCTAGCACGCAGTTCCTGTGCTTGGCGTGCTCGCTGCCATGGAGGACTGGGAGGCCAGTAAGAAATACATCAGGCACTTATTTTCCTTGAGTTCTGCCCTGGAGGGTTACATCTGATTTCCCTGTATTCTCACCTAAACAGAATCACTCCCTCATTTAGACTGAAATCACCGCTCGCTTGTGCCACGCAGAATGGTCTCCAGGCACAACACTTGATGTGCTAATTATAATTCAGAATTGGCTACAGCAAAAGCTTATACAGCCCATGATGAATCCATACTTTGAGATACTAGCCTGAAGAGAAAGAAGGGAAAATTACTTTTGGTCCAAAGCTTAAACTATGTGTACTTATGCCCCCGCCCAGGCCCCCGCCCCTACCCAATTCAAACTGCCTGAAATGGATTGCAACCGGGATTGGTCTTGGATGGATCTATTTCTGATGTTCTTTTTTCTCCTTCCCCCACTTTTTTTTTTTCTGGCAGAAGAACCATTTTCATTTTATAGTGATCAAACATCTTATCTGAGTATTTGCCTTGAAGAGCATAATCGGTTTCAAGTGGAGCATTTTTCTCAAGAAGAACTTAAGAAAAAGGTACTGACCTATTAGTTTCAGCGGTTTGTTGGTTATTTGTTTTCTCTTGGGTTCCCGATCGGAAGTGTAAGATTCTGAAAGCCCTTCCCTCTCCTTTCTTCCCTGTCCTCCCTGCCCGTCTTTGCTCTGTCTACATATGTTACCTGGGGTGGCCTCCCCACGTCTGACAGACTCCTCCTCAGGCTGGAGGAGCCAGCCCAGGCTCCACCTTCCCTAGGAAACGCTCACCAGCCCTTTCATGTAGAGTTAGCCGCCTTTCTCTGAGCTCATTCGCCTCCCTTCTCGTACCTAATCCCATCGATTCTCTGCTCACGTGGACCTGTCATTATCTGGCTGTTTGTCTGTATCCTCTGCCAGGCCGTGGACATCTTGTATCTTATTTATTTCTGATTTTCCAGTACCTGGCACACGTAGTGGAAGTTAATAGATACTTTTTGAAAGAATAAAGATCCAGGTTTGATCAATAAATCTTTTTAAAACTGGAAAGGCTTTTCAATTGTTGTTCGTTGGTCTAGTTAGAATGGCTTAGTATTTCAGTGTTCTAAGAGCCATTGGTAAGACTAGGAAGCCTGAGCTTGGAGGAGACTGTTTTATTGTAAAATTATCACACACATGTGACAGATTCAGTTTTTGTCTTGGAATAATTTACATTCTGATGGAGTGGACAGAGATGTAAATAAGGAATTATAGCTCGGAGTGCAAGGGTTGCTGGAATAGGCAGTTGTGCAAGATGTAGAGGCAGCAGAGGTTAACTGTTGGGAGTTGTGGAGTGCTCACTTGATTGGAGGAAGCTTCTCAGCAGAAGTTAGCACTGAAGTGGGTTTTGAAGGGTGGATAGGAGTTTGTTTGGGTAGAGGACTTTCTCAGCAGAGAACAAGAAAATAGCAGGTATAAAGTACAGAAGTAACAGAGTTTTGCTGTTTTGAGAGGAGTAAAGCAAGGAGCATTGAGGCACTCGTTAATTTTTGAAGATAAGGGAAGTGGGGACGGTAATAGCTGCTGCTCGTACCTGCCATGGCCAAGTTAAGGGCAGGGCGTCGTCCCTGGTTGTCACTTAGTAAGGGTTTATGGAACCAGAATGTTTTCTTCTTCCCATGATCACCTTGAGGGTTGGGTCCAGTTCGTATTCATGTTTTGCTGTATCGGTCATCTGCTATGTATAGTCAGGATAGGATTGCCTGCTTTATTTGAGAGGCTCACGATTATCCCATTAAGAAGTCCTTGGGAAATCACTCGCCATTGTGATTTGAAACCCACAGGGAGTGAAGGTTGGGGTGTCAGCTCAATCGCTTATGTACCTGGCCTGGCAAGGCCTGTGCCTGAAGTAGGAGAACTGGGCTGGCAATCCCCGGACTCAGCTCCGGGCCTGGCTCTACCTCTCGGGAGGCAGCTGCCCTTCCCCACACGACTAGGCACTTCGGCCATTGTTATATGTCATTTAATTCTCCAGACACCCCCAGCTGTGGGACCTTGGGCAGTGAACTTCTTTGTTTCTCAGGTTCTTCACTGTAAAACGGGGATAGTCATACGAGCCCATCTACCGCCTCAGGATTTTTGTAAGGAATGAGCGAGTAAAGCTTACGGGAGGATTTTAGTAGCTGTACATTGCTTCGTCATTGAACACTGTTATTACTGACATTGCTAAGATAGGCGTACAAAGAAGGTGGATGCTGTGAAATAAGGCTCCGACACAGTCTCAGAAACTCAAGTCTCAGGAGTTTCCTCCCGAGGGTCTCAAGTACAAGGTGGAGGGACTTCAGTGCTCTGTGGCCATGGTCACGTTCAGTTCTCTCAGTAACCATGCCGCAGATGAGGAAATGGAGGCTTAGGTCAGGCAGCTTGCCCAGGATCTCTTTGCCTTGAAGGGGTGACTCTGGGGTTAGAATCTAGGCATGTTAATGTTTTTTTTTTTTTTGATCTTCACTGTACCTAGAGTAGCCTGAAGACCAGAATCAGGCCACCCGATTCTTCATAACTGTCACGCTGACAGCCCTGCTCAGTAGGAAGGTCTGGGCCCCGTGACGAGGCCCTGGGAAGCTGAACCCCGCTCGTGGGTATCTAGTCCTCTCTCTGATCTCATTTCCTAGGTCAGTGACCTTTTACAGCTGGTGAAGGAACTGCATACAGACAACCAGCACCTGAAGAAAGCCATTTTTGATCTCTCCTGCATGGGTTTCCAGGGGAATGACAGACTTGAATCAGTAGAAGAAACGGAGGTAAGAAGAAACATTCTTGCTGTCATATGCTAATTCCAAAAAAATAAATAAATAAGTAACAGCCCTCAAAATTTCTCAAGACTGCATCTGTCCTGGGCAGTCTCTATTGAAATTGCCTTTGCTGTGATAGGGGTTTTGAGGGCCCTTTGGGATTAAAGTGGCCCCTTTGAGTTTCTCAAGTTGGGGTCACGTCTGCATGGACACGGTCAGTAGTGTTGTGGCCCTGGGGTCTGTGCTGCAGGTGGCACATCTGGATGACTGGTGTGGTTTCGGGGATGTGGCACATCTGGATGATTGGTGTGGTCTCGGGGATCTGGAGAGTTGCCAAATCACCAAGTAATTGGGGTAGTGTAGATGGAGCATTAATGAATTCATTAACATTGAAAACCAGGTAAACACATTTCTCATTTACTTTTTTTGTTAATCCTCCAAATTTTGCGCATCTTCTCACTCTCACGGCACCCGGACTTCAGGACTTGACCGGATGTGTGTCATTCCTACCCACAGCCACCCGGGCTCTCCTGCACTCTGCCATGTGCAGAGGACAGGCCCGGAAAGAAACAGTGCCTTCAGCCCACAAGCCCAGGTTCCTGACCGAGGCCGTTTTCTGCTGGTGGCATCTGAAAGCTCGGCAGGGCCATGAAAGGTTACGTCACGGCGCCTCTCTCTGTGATGTGGCTCGTGGGCCTGTGCGCTGAGGCGGGGGGCCCCTGTCTGTTAGTGCCGCCTGGGGAGGCGACGGAGGCCCCGTTCTCCCTGGCGGCTCCTGGGTGTCTGCTCGTCTTTGGGAGGCATTTCTCCGATTTTCTCTGTTCTTGGCCCGTGCCGTACATTTGGAGGACCCTGACGTCGTGACAGTGAAGAAGAGTTTCTCGTTTTCTCCCTTCAGCTTCTAACGTGGCCTAACTCTCCCCCAGCAGGCGCCTTGCCCCTCGCGTCTGTTAACCTTTTTCAGGACAGTGGAACTGTTCTCACCACGAAACGCAGTAAGGCCTTTTTGTTTTGGGGTCCCCTGGAACCTTCTTGGTTAGAGTTGTCTTGAACTCAGCCTGGCCTGCTGGGAAAATGGAAGTCTCATTGCCACATCGTGTCTGGGGAAAGATTTGTCAGCCTTCCGCTGTCTCCTCCCACTTTCAAAGTGGGAGATGCTCAAAGGTATTTATGCTGCGCTCCAGCCATCTGCTGTCTTTGAGAGACGGAATATTATTGATCTCAGCCTCCAGGGCTCCAGATAATTTTGAAAACCAAGAATATCTGCAGTCCATTTAGGGAGAAACAAGTCTCTTGGTTTCTTTTCTCTAAGGCAGCATTTTTAATAAGCAGCTCATTTTTCACCTACTTCATTTGAGTCGTAAATGGCGAGTTTGTTTGTTCATTTGCCCTTTGAAAAAAAATCTGTTCAATGTCCCATTATGTCCTTTGGAGAACAGAGGCCTTTTCCTCTTCCCACTCTGAGATCTTAATATCAGCCGATTCAGATTGAGTCATTTGTCAGACTGCGCTTCAATGCGACGTTCCCTGTGAATGGCCTTGTCCTTTGTAGCACAGGTCCCCCATCTTCCCCCAGAATGGGACAGTACGATCCGATCTGCCTGGGAAGGGTGATGCTCCCACAGTAACCTTGAGCTGAGGGAGGGGCGGTCGTTAGGGTCGAGGGTGGGATGGCAAAGAGGGGAGGCCGCCCTTCCCGGGAGCGTGTGCTTCTCCTTTTCTGAGCAGCAGGGCTCGCAGAGTGGGTTCTGGGCCCCATGCCTACCCTCTAGGACCCTCTGAATAGGAAAAGGGAAAAAGAAACCCAAATATGTTTTGTGTTTTTAAAATGTGGCGTGTTTTTCTCCAATATTTAACTCACAGCATTACCTAACACTTAGAAAATAGAGAAATTACCCCTAATCCTGTCACTTTAAAACACAGTTAACTAACATTTTAGACTCTTTTCTGTTTGTGTGTATGAACATGTCCACAGCCACTATATATATATATATATATATATATATATGCAGTTTTGTTTCTTTTTTTCCAGTTGCTGTTATGTTACAGCATCGTATTCCATCTTATGAATGCACTGAAATTTAACGAAGTGCCTCACTATTGTTGGAAATGTAGATTGTTTCCAGCGATGCACTCTTTTAAAAATTACCTGATGAATGTCTTTGGACTCAAATCTTTTTCTGGGTTTAGGAATTTTTTTCCTTAGACCATATTCCCAGATACGTAATCCTCAGGTCAAAAGTGCAGGAAGATGTAGGTATAAAATAGGCCTGTCGTTTGTTTTCATGTATCTCCCTCCTATAACTTTTAATTAGACCAAGGGTATAAATAGTAGGAGGCCCTAGATAACAGTGTGTCAGGTTTGTCTTCGAAATGGTTGCTGTCGTGTGGATTCCTCCAGCTGCCACGACACTGCTTTGTCCTGCATGTGGGCAGTTCCCTTAAAAACCAGCCAAACAAACAAAAGACCAGGAACAGCTGTTCTTTTGTGTTAAAGTGCCTTTAAAAAATTTCTAACGAGTTTGCCCCTATTTCCTTATATGTTTTTCTACTGGTTGTTAATTTATGTGTTGGTCGAAAACGCGGTTGAGAACTGACATGCAGGAGTGATCTGAGCAGACGGCTGTTTGGTGGCCCCACCACCTAGATTTCCTCTGCCCTTCACCGCTCCATCTTGTCTTTTTGGTAAATTTCGGTGTACAAACATCAGTGCACTCCCCCCTAAATACTTCAACATGCTTATCTTTAACATGTTTATAGTTATTTTTTCTTTTAAGGTTAAATTTATATACAATGAAATGAAGAAACTGTAAGTCTCCCTTTGCAAAGTTTTATAATGTATGTACCTCTGTGACCCAAACCCCTATCAAGATCATGTCCCCTCTGGTCAGTTCCCATCCTCACCCCCAGCTACTCTTGTAATTTTATTCTGTCATGGATTAGTTTTGCCTGTACTGGACCTTCACATACATGGAATCATAAAGTATGTTTTCTTTTTTGTAACACTTTTTCACTTAGCATGTTTTTGAGATTCATCCATTTTGTTATGTGAAGCAACAGTTTGTTCCTTTTTATTGCTAAGTAGTATTCCATTGTTTGGGTATATTAGTGTGTTTATTCATTCTGCTATCGATGGACATTTGGATTGTTTCCAGTTTTTAGATATTATGATTAAAGCTAATATTAATATTCATAGACAGCGGACATATGTTTCTAGTTCTCTTGAGCACAGAGGAGTAGAATTCCTGGGTCATAGGGCTACTAGTTTTACAAAAACTGCCAATATTTTTTCCAGAGTAGTTTAACATTTTATACTCTCCCTAACAAGTTTAATAGTCCTAGTTAGTTGATCTATATCACTTGAGGATGTTTTAATCATAAGGGAAGAAGCCAACAGCGGGAGAGGGTTCCTCACCCCAGTTTAGAAACTTTTACACCTTCATAAGTGTACTTACTCATGTCTAGTCTCTTTATTGCTTGATAGTAAGATCTGATTTGTGATCATCAGTTCTGGTTGATCCTGATTGCAGATTTGAATGTAGTTAGGCCGAATACTTTCTGATCCTGAGAAGTTTTCTATACAATGACTTTTTGAGGCCAGTTTGCTTTGTTGATTTTTCTTCTTCCCAAACAAGAGTTTCTTCTAAAAGGAACATCAGAAAATTTTAAGTTGGGCTGGGAGAATCAGGGGGAATTGACTAAGTAGGAATTCATAGAATAAAACTATGGCGACAGAACCCTGGACATCTCATACATATGACATACCCAGCAAGTGACTCAGCATCTAGTCTGTGGCTTTAATGCTTTGGTGAGATGGGGTTTGGTATAATTTCTGAAATAGTTTTAACCGATGCCCTCCCTGGGTGTGGCCACCTTTCCTCTCATTTTTTATTTGGTGAATCTGAGTATCTCACTCTTCCAGGGAGCTGAGATCTGACCCTCTCGAGAACTTGGTACTGTCCATTCAGTAGAATGCAGAACCTTTAGGATTTACACTTATTTAAAGCATTAGGGATTTATGCACTTTTTATAAATAACTGTCCTTCATTTTCAAAAGCATAAAGTTATCGTCAGGCAAGCCTGATACTCTACTTATTAGCAATGAGGACTTTTTGTCAACAAAATGGCAGTGCTGGCGGGACCGTCCATCTCAGATGCGTGACAGTCCAGTGAGAGGTTTATGCCCTGTGCTAAATAGGAGGAGTGATGCATAAATCAGGCACGCCATCAATTTCGTTTACTGCTTTCTCGCTATTTGATATTTTCAATTCCATCAATAGCTATTTTCCAAAATCTTGTTACTTTTATATAACACGAAAGTGAATTGAGCAATGGCAGGGATGGCGGCAGCACCGCAGACAGCACAGTCATTTACAGCAGCTCAGGGAAGGCCGGCGAGGACGGGGGGAAATCGCTCCAGTTATTTCTTGGAGAATTTGTCCTGAAATTATGCCTGATCCCAGGCAACTGTATGTGATTTACCAGAACTAGCAACTCTAACTTTGGTTAATTTTTATTTCATGGCTTTGGCATTTGTTTCTGCCTCTTTTTTTTTTTTTTTGGTTTGTTTTTTGTTTTGCATTTTTTAAAAAAGCCATCACTGACTTCCCCATACATATTCATGCTGCATCCTTTTTTGGGGTTGCATTTTCACACCATTCCATGCACCATGTAGCTTCCGGCTGGCAAGGAAGACGAGGACACAATCAAAATTGGAGAGGATGTGGAGAATCATTACCGGACTGACCAGCATTTGGAACAGAGTACCAAGGTAAGAACATGGCAGTTGACTCCTTATTCCATCCGCCTCTCTCTGGTCCTACGCCGGTCTTCTAGTCGGGAATGAGTCCGATGGGGTTTCCCTTTATTCTGCCTGTGTCGAGTCCCTGCTGTGTGCCTGTGGAGAACAAAGAGACGTGGTCTCTTCCTTCTCGAAAGTTACATTCTGGGTGGCAGAGCCAGTCATGAAACAGCAAACGGACGTTTAGTTGCAAATAAAAACAAGGCCGTTGCAGAATAATGGGCATTGGGTGTTGGACCTGGACAGATCTTTAGGGATGTAACCCAACCCATTTGCTTTATGCACTGGAGACTGAGGCCTCTGCGGGAAGGTGGTTGATCCAGGGCACAGCGTAAACCAGTGACAGAGCTGGGACAAGAGCCCTTGTCTCTGGACTGCTGCGAACTCCCAGATCATTCGATTGCAGTGTAAGGAGCCGCTCCTAGGCCCAAACTCCCTTTCTCGGGGTCTTCTGCAATCTCTTGATCGGGAACCCAGCTTAGTGGCATCTGGGCATTGATGAGAATTTGTGCGCTTACAATGTTCTTCCAGTCACACCGATACTGAAACTTTGGAGCAAACACTCTCCAAGGTTGAAAGGACCCTACAGACTGGGATGTAGTGGGATGTAGGAGGCTGCAGATTTGACATTTATGGCCTTCAGGATGTTCAAGTTCATGGAGTAATGAATGAGAAATCATTAAAATGTAGATAGTTATGGAGGGCAGAGCAGTTGAAAGCAGGGGGCTTTGAATCAGATCTGACTTTGAGTCTTAATCACTGTCTCTCTGACCTTGGAGATCACCTTTGCTTAACCCCTAATCCTGAATTTCCCCATCAATGAAAATAATAGTACTTCTTGTTAGCATTGTTTTGATATTTAAATAGAAAGGTATGTACTAAGTGCTAAGTAAATGATAGCAATTACTGTTTTTATTGTTATATTCTAGGTTTTTCTTTCTTGGGAGGTCGCTTCTTTAGATGGATTTAATAACTAGATTGGTGGCAAACAAGATCCTATAAATAACAGCTCATTTGTGTGGGTCTTGTCTTCCATTTGAAAACTTAATCATTTTACAAGTGTGCAGAGAGGGGTGTGATGGCTAGTGTGTATATCACAGCAGTAATGAAGTCAAGGGGAGTTATTTATAGATCGGTAGGAGAAATTTACAGCTTTGGAAAGGAGAAGAAAGAATGCTAATTGCAGCACCTCAAGACATGCCCAGCACAGGCTTTAACTAGATGCACCCTTGGTACCACTCCTGTGACCTTCAGTGACCCAGGAAGGTGGAACCGTAAACAACATCTCCTCGGGAATTAGGAACTCTTCCTCCTTCCTAATGAGACAAATCAGAGTTACGTTAATTAGGATGTATCTGCAGAGAGCAAGTCGGCTTTCTGTTAATGTAGTGGGGAGCATACCTCGCAGGGGTGTTTACGTGCCCAAAGCATTGTTAACAGCGTGGATTCTGTCCCCGCCTTCGGAAGAACTTGCAAGGAGTGGGCCTCGGGTCGGGGGCACACACCGAAGTGGGTAGGACACCGTGCCATGCACACTTAGCGAGTCACCTCATTGTGTTCTCATGGTCACCTTGGGAAGTGGCATTGCTATCCTTATTTTATAGGGGAGAAAAGCAGGGGCGAGGAGAAGGGACACGAACATCTTTGTGCTTTCGCCAGAGCAGCTCGCTCTGCAGGAGGGTGTGTGTGGGCTCGGGCGCCTGAGTCCCCCTCTTCCCTTCGTCTTCGCTCTGGCTGACTTGTACTCGCTCCTTCGCTCTCAGTTTCCATCCCTTTTCTCTCCTCCACGCGCCCCCTGCCCCTCCTCCGTAGTCCATTATTTGACCCAGTATTTTGATTGGCAGATTATGGAGGACTATTCCAAAGGGGGCTGCAAAAATGGATATTTGAGGCACACGGATTCCCATATTTTAGACTACGATGGAGCCCACAAACCTGGCCGCCCTGGAGACCAGCGTCTGGAGGAGAGCGAGCTCATGAACCTGCTCGCCCCTTTCTTCAACGAGAAGGCCACGTTGTTATTGGAATCCAGGTAGACGTGGGGTCCAGGCATGGCTTTATCTCTAGTTTGAGGGAAGAACAAACGCTCGCTTTGCTTAAATGGCTTTAGATGACGGTGCTGTTTGATTTACCTGAAAGAGCTTCTGAAATGACTTGGAAGGAATCTTGCCAGTCATGCAATTAAGTCATTAGGCTGCATGCTAGTGGCTGTGACGGGACTTCAGCAAAGCCTCATGCGGGCCCATTATAAAGAGGAGAAAGAAAGCTTTCCTCTAAAATTATTCCTGGGAGCCCCGAAAAGGGCCGTCTTGCTGTCAGCGAGAGGAATCACCCCCACTGAAATCTCTTCCAGTTTCTACAACAGCTTAAAAACCGCCATTGTAGTTGTGACTCTGCCGTTTAATGTTGAGCTTGAGCTAAAATTCTCGCTTCATTATATCTGCTGGGAGTCATTCCTATGTGAGGAAACACTACAGGGTCTTTTCCTTAAAACGGAGAAACATTTGGTACATTCGTGTTTTTAAAATCGGTCCTTTAGGAGCCAGTTTTCCTCCTCTCATGTCCTTCGGAGTCCGGCTTGGCAGCCGCTTGGGCTTTGGGGCCAGAAGGAGCTGTGCCTTCATCTCTCGGTGCCCCCGCTTCTCTGACCACTTCTGGGGTCGCTGTGGGGGTCGAGGAGAGTGCGTTTTTGGAGAATGGCTGGCACGTGGCGTGTGCTCGCTGATGAACGTTTCATTTCTCCCCCCACACAGATTGAGGAACGGAGCCGGGAGCTACTGCCCGTGACTCTGAGCAAGAGCCAGGGACCCTGCCGTTTCTTAACGTCGTCGGTGGGCTAAGCCCCATACACGTTTCTTTAGCTAAAATGAAAAAAGAATTGAAGTGTTCTGTTTTTGTGAGCTAACCCTTCCCCAGCCCCTGACACCTGCCCGGCATTTTTCTAGTGTTGAGTCCTCTTGGGGGCCTTGCCCAGTGGCCGTTCTGGTTTGTTATCAAAGGGGGCTAGGTGACCATCGTCAGCGCTTGAGAAATGGAGGATTTCCTTAGGGCCAGGGTCTCTATTGTTACATCAGAGTTAAGAGACGCAACTCTCTCTCTCTCCCCGAGGCCACCCGGGAATGCTCCTGGGTGATGTGAGCTGTGGAAAGGACGATGGGCTGTGGGGGCGTGGGTGAATCGGGTACGTGTGCCCCTGCTGTCCACGAGAAGTGGACAGCAGCTTCTCGGCCCAGCGATTGTTGTCATGCAAACACATGGGCTCAGAGCTTCCAGTCTTTCAGTAGAAGCCCCAAAATTGTATTCTAAATCTCTTGACTTTTAAAAATTTAGATCCAGTTATATTTTTTAAGAGAGCAACTTATGGACTCACACCCTGCAGGCAAGCTTGTGAGTATCTGTGGTTCCGTTTCCTGTTCCCTGCAGGTCCCATAGGTTTCCACGCCGTTTGGGGCCAGTTCTAGTATTGGAACGGGCTTTCTTAAACCAGCCCAAACCCGTTGCCCTAATCTCGTTCTCTGTACAGCTGTCGTTCATGGTGTGCCATTGAATTTCATGACAGAGGAGGCACGGCTTCCGGGGCCCCCCTGCAGTCCTGACCGGGGTCTGCACCCACCCTGGCACACGCACGCTGTGCCAGGGCCCAGGCTGGCACTTCGAGTGAAAAACCGACTTCATTTTACCCTTACACCAGCTTTGCACGCTGCTGCTGGTGACCTTTTTGCAGACGTGGGAGTTGACATTTGGGGGCTTGGCAGTGCCTTAGTAAATGGTAGGGCTGTTAGACAGTTTTCTAAAGGAATCTTATTAAAAGACTCATTGGGATAACCACGGCCCTGATTGGTCAGAGAAGTGCCAATCTTCTGCCTGGGCACTCCCTCCAGGAGGTAGGTGGCTTTGGCATACTAGAAAAAACAGTTTTGGAGACAGACAGACCTGTGCTCCAGTCCATTTAGACCTTGTGACATAACTCCCCATCTTGGTTTCTTCATCTGTAGTGTGAATGTGGTTGTGCTAATCTACCCCATAGGCATCGCGTGAAGATTAAGTGAAATAATAGGCATAAAATATAGACTCGGGTTGGTTCTAAGTGGGATTTTGGTGATATTACTGCTTAAATCATGCCGTGCCAACTGCTTCTACCCTTTCCCACTACACTCAGGGAAAAGTTCATACCATCTGCAAGACACAGCAGCCAGCCAGTGACGCCTGCCCCTGTAGTTGTTGCCGAGTCTGATACCCCAGTGCAGGGTTCCCACAGACGTGGGCCTGAGACATCCCTTCACCCTTTGAGCTCTTCTACCTTCCGGCCCCCCGCCCTAGGGCCTAAGGGGCTAGCAGAGTAGTTGGCCCTAGGAGTCACTCCGATTCAGCTTACCTGTCCGTGAGGATGGAATAAGGAAACAGCTTGTCCAGTAGTCACCTTAGCCTAAGTAGTTGTCTTGCACTTGACCAACCAGAGTCATTCGTTCATTGGAGGTGGAAGGAAAGGGTCAATACAGGGCCCTGCCTGGCCAGTCCCTCCTTTCCTGTGGTGGTCACTGTGTGTGTGATCCCAGCCATCCCTTTACTTGCTTCCAGTTCGTTTCGTCCCCATTCCCTAGAGGACATGGTCTAGGGTTTTATCACCCTTCCTTACGACCTAGACTTGGCCAGCTATTCATGTTACATGTGATCACATGACAGGTCGTCCCTTACATGTATTTATTATCATTAATTTCAAAATGAGCACCGAACATTGCCCAGCACAAGACTGTTTTGCCGCTTCTCTTCTCCCTCCCTGACTGATGTCCTTGCCTTACATGTCACTGAGAAAACAGGAACAGTTGAACTCAAACCATTTCACTCTTCCCACCAGTACTGCCAGCTTATTTGCCTCTATACCCGTAAACTCCGACTTTCCTGCTGTTGGAATGGAAGAAATAAACATCCCTGCTCCTATTGAAGACCACCCCTCCTCCTGGGCACCCTCTCTTTTCTGCATCATTATTTTTTCCCTATCACTGAATCATTTCCAATAGCATAAGATATGCATTAATAGCAACCATGTGGGAGGTGCTCCTCCTGCACCCCGCCCCCCCCAATTTCACTCAAGCTACTGCCCCGTTTCTTGATTCCCCTTAAAGGCAAGATTGCTTGGAAGAACTGTCTGTATTTACCGTGTCCACTTTCCTTCCTTCCAGTCTCTCTCTGTCCCTTTACCAGTGCTTTCATCCACTCCACCTGTCCGGGTCAGTGACAGTCTCCAAGTCGTGAAATCCAGTGGCCGGGGCAGCCTTTCCGAAGCAGCGGCCGCTCTGCCTGGCCGTCCGTTCAGGACTCTTCCTGTTTCCTTCTGCCTCACTGGCCTCTCCTCCTCATTCTCCTTTGCTGCCTCCTCTTCATGCTCGCTGTTGAGCGTCCGAGTGTCCCAGAGCTGTGTTCCCGGCCCCTTTTTTCTCTCTGTATCTTCCGTCTCCCATGGCTTTAGGGTGTGCTACAGGACCACCACGTTTATACCCACAGCCTGGACCATAGTCATCTGTCTCCTTGACACGTCTCCCTGGGTGTCTCACAGACACTTGCACGTTTATCCGTCCAGAACCCAACCCCCTGTTCTAATCTCCCATCTGCTGTTCTTTCCCATGTCAGCTAGTGGGACTGCTGTCTAATTGGCGTAGCTGTAAGTCGTTCCCACGACCCCCGTATCCACCAAGTCCTACGGGGAGTCCACCGTCAACGCGGGTCCCCAACTTCACCACTTCACACCTCTTCTCCTACCCTCTTAGTAGCCCACAGCGCAGCCTCGACAGTCTGTGCTCCACAGAGCAGCCAGAGCGATCTTTTAAAAACTGAGATCCGATCGTGTCTCTTCCATGCTTAAAACCCTCCACGAAAGTCCACTGCGCTTACAGTAAGCTCAGAGCTTCGTGTCTTGGCTTCTGCCTGTTTCTGTCTTTATCGCTCACCCTCTTGTTCGCTGTGCTCCAGCCTCTCTGACCTTCTTTCTGTTCCTCGAACATCCCAGCTCGTTCTCACCTTGGGGCCTTTGCAGTAGCCATTTCCTCTGCCCTGAATGCTCTCTTCCTAGGTGTACAGGTGACTGGCGGTGACCCAGCTTGGCGTCAGCTCTGTAGAGAGACCTTTCCCGACCCCTCTGTCTAACAGAAACCCATTTCTACACATTGTCTCGTCTCAGGACTTCTGCCCTTAAGTTGTAGAACTCAAGTTTCTACACATTGTCTCAGGACTTCTGCCCTTAAGTTGTAGAACTCAATCATTGCCGGACATGATCTTAGTTATCCATGCACGTGTGAATGTCTGTCCCCTTAATGAAACGTAAGCTCCAGCTCCATGATTCTTTTCACCTTGCATTTCCGCTGCCTTCCATGACCAGTGGGAGGTGCTCAATAAATATTTGAAGGACTGTGCAGGCAATGAAAAGCTCAACATCATAGCAGAGGGTAAGTTTAGAAAACTGAAAAGAGTCCAGTGCCTCTTTGGAATCAGAAAGGCCTGGGTTCCAGTCTTTGCTCTGCATTGAGCCAGGGGATCTGGACTATCTACGAGCCTGCTCCTTCATGTGTGAAATGGGGTTAATGTTAGTCCCCATCTCACAGTCATAATATGAGGACTAAATGCATTTAGTGTATTTAAACGAACTGACATACCGTGAAGTGCTTCATAAATGTCAGTTCCTTTCCCCTTACACCTTCTGTGTAACAAAGATGCTCAGGAAAGGTACATAAACAGTGTTTGGGCCTCTGACAAGACTCTTGGACTGAGCCATTAGAAAGGTCCTGATTACGGCAGCAGCTTAGTGAACCTGCTGTTCCAGTTTCTAGCCAAGGAACACTTGAAACGTTTTATTTAACATCACCCCCACTTTAGTATATTATAATGGTCTCTTTCACTACCTTTTACTACTGATTTGTAAAGTCTTTTTCTTGGATTTTATCGTGTGTTGTTTGGTCATGAGTAATGGCATTTCTTTGGCTAACTGAATAGCAATCGTCATTATTTTTAATCTATATTAAAGGAAGGAAGGGAAAGGAAAATTTAGCTTAACATACTTGAAATACCAGAAATATATTTCAAGTCTGGGTTCACTGAACTTTTAAGTTGGTTTGTATAGTCTAGATGATTCCGTGTTAGAAGTCAAAAATGTACTATACATTTTAATTCTGGTTTTTTTTTTTATCCTTGTACTTTTTACTCTATTTTTAGTGCTCTGTTTCATTTGAATCGAATGGTCTCTGCCCCAGAGGTAGATGATGGGAACCTAGATATGAGTAGGCCTCACGCCTGCCATAGAGGGCTCGATGGGGAAGATGGAGTAAGGGTCCCTTCCGAAAGGGCAGCAAAGGTACAGCAGGAGGAAGCTCAGGGTATGTGAAGGGAGTCGGTAGCTGGGGTCTGACTGTCCCACAAGGTTTCCGGAGGTGAGGCAGGCAGGAGAAGCTGCAGATGTAGCCCCAACGGGGGCCCATTCTGTCCCCTCCCCTCCGCTGACTGCCGCCACCTGACCCGCACCTTCTTCTTCCCGGAAGAGCAGCCGCTCTCCAGCTGGCCTCCCGCTCTGTCCTCGCCCCTCGCCCCGTTCCTTTTTTCATAACTTTCTGTCTCAATTTTATAACTTCGTTTTTATGAATTTTTTCTCATATTTTAAGGTGATTTAAACATACTTGTTTTAAAGTCTTCAGTTTGCTGTATTACTTTTATTTCCTCGGTGTGAACTCTCATTTGCTGGATTGTCTGTCTTTCACGACAGTGGATTTTGTTGGTCAGTTTGCTTTGCCTTGTTAATAGCTCTGCGCAGTTTCCCACCCTTCCTCCTCCCTGAGTGGTGGCTTTGAAGTTGCCTCGGCTTGGCTTTCTGGGTCTTACCGTAGGGCTTATGAAATTGGCATGGTACTCCTTCTACCGTGGGAGTTAAATTTCTGGCCTCACTGCTTTCTACAAATGCCCCCCTTCTCATAACCTTGGGTCTTTTCTGCTTCTGACCTTTGGATAGGTTTTATCTTGATTTTGAATCTCGTAGTACACCTCAGAACATTTTGTTGTCATGTATTTTTGCTGTCCTTTACACGTGTATAGAACAGAGGAGGAGGCGCTCCTGTGTGTACTCACAGCACCTTCTTGACGGGAGGTGTCTCCATTCATTCTTTACGGCACAGCCAGAGTCGCCTCCTCAGAGCACGTGCGTCACCATGCTGCTCGCGTGCACAGAGCCTTGCAGTGGCTCTCCTTAACATGGCTGGGTTCTCCCCTGCCTCATGTTCTAGCCTCACCTCCTTGTTCTCCAGTGTCTTGACTCTGTTCATATTGTTTTTCGTGCTTAGGATGTTCCACTTCCTTTTCTCCTGGCTGGGCCTGTTGACTCTAGGATCCCTTTTCTGACGTTCCTCCTGCACCCCGGGATGATCGCTCCCTAGCCCTCCCAGATGCGCATAGTGCCCGTGTTTTAGTTCTTACCTGGCAGAGGAGTGACCTGTGTACATACCTGTCTCCAGCAGCAGTCTGAGTCCTCGCAGGCAGTTCTGCACCCCCAATGCCCATTACATTGCCTGGCACAAGAAACACCTGAGTCCCCAGGAAAGCAGAACCCGAGATAAGGCCTTAAGTGTATGTGGTTTATTTGGGATGTTGACTCTAGGGAGCAGAAAGGAGAGATCGGGGCGAGGAACATAGAAATGGAGGCCAAGCTGATAAGGGTATATTACTGATCTAGTGACTGCTGTGGGCAGCTGGGGCTCAGTCCTCTTGGGCACCCTGTGAGGGACAGCATAGACTGTGCCTTAGTGTTGTCCCTCCCAAGGATGGGCGACTGGGACCTTTACCCAACGGCTCTCTTCCCCCACTGCTTAAGGGTTCCCCGCCCTAGGTATAAACTGGTGCGCACTTCCACACTGCTCTGCTGACTGGCTCACATTGCTCTGGCGATGTCCCAAGGCAGCAGAGAGATGCAAGGAGTGCTTGAGGGACCGTCTGCGTCTGCGGGAGCTGTCCACACAGCTGCAGCTGGAATCTAGGGAGGCCTAGGGCATGCGGCAAGGGGCGTGAAAAGCATCTGCTACCCATATACTCGTTTAATCCTCAAAGCTGTCCTATGGAGGAAGACTTAGCCAATTTTCATAGAATCACAGTTAGAATTTGAAGCCATTTTTGTCCGATTTCAAAGCCACTGCTCCTTCTATTAAGAGCAGTTTGCAGCATCCTTTCATTCAGTACCTACTGACTGAGCACCAGTTGTGCACCGTAATGGAGCAGGTCACTGATGGCTCCACCAGGTTGGACAGGGTCATCCAAAGCCATGCTTTCCCCCTGGATGCAGGAATGGGGCCAGGAGGTGGGTGGACCTTGAAATTGTCATGAAGACTTTATGACCCTGTTTGCTCCTTTCTAGGCTCAGCCTGTGTCCATGTAGTCATGTGGCCCCCTCACTTGCTGTGCACTTATGTCAAATCAGTCCTCTTCTTATCCATGAAATGGACATGATAGTACCTACCTTGTATGGGTGTCGTGAGGTGACATGGGATCACATACTTGGTGTGGGTCCTGGCACATGGCAGGTGCTTGCTGTGTTTAGTTTAAATAGAATCTGGGCCGTTAGTGGGAAAAATTGGGAAACTTGATAAGTGACAAGGCCACTGCAGAAAAAGCTTAGTTCTTCCGTTCTTTCCCTTTCGGAAAAACAGGCCAGACCTTCTGAAAGTGCTCCGTGAACTGCTTCTGGAACCGGTATGTGTGACAGAGCAGGAGGTTTCCAGAGAACACCTCGATGGCAAAACCGAGAAGACACTTAAGCAGATGGCTTTTCAGTTACAAGGTGAACTTGGACGTTTCATCCAAGCCAACTCATTGTCCCAGCCGCATGACGAACCGGAGCTGTCCAAGGTGGAGCTGAAAGATGCCTCGGTGCAGACCGTGGCCACGGAGGGCGGCAGGCTCAGACTCAGACAAGGAGAAGACAAGCGAGAGGCCTGGGAAGAGAAACTGACAGGCGCCGCGTTGGGTCCTGAGCCTCGGCCCGAGAACATGCGGAGGGCGCCCTGGCGTCAGGCCACTCACCCTTCCTTCCCCAGTGCGACCGACAAAGTGAGCTTTCCCACTTATTACCTACGTTACAGAAACAGGAAACTTAGAGTCACTTCTGCTCCCACTGCTTTTTTTTTGATTTATATAAAATCTGGTGTCTCCCTCTTCCTGCACTTATCCTGGCCTCTACCTAGAGGTGTGTGTCTGCCCTAACCTTCCCCAAAGTAGTACTAACGTTTTCCCCTTCTCTCTCTCCTTCCCCATCTCTCTCCTACCTTATTTATCTATCGATCATGACGTTTATGTGTTTTCCTTATTCAGATAGAGTCATGTTCGTACATCTGTCCGTGTTAGGCATCAGGACTGTCTTTCCTTGTAACGGCTATTTATGATTCCGTTGTGCAGAATGTGCCTACATGTATATAATTTTCACCTTTCGATGGACATTTACTTTTGCAGGTTGCAGTAGAATTGCAATGACCTGACTTGAGTAGAGACAGGAAGCTAGGTGTCAGTTTCTGCAGACTTTGTATCTGAGAGCTGCTGTTCTGTGGACTTTGTCTACATTCTCTAATCCTCACAACACCCTTCAGAGATGACGAAGCCAGACCCCGAGTGCCCGTGCTTCGCCTGCAGTGAAGGGGCTGCGCTGGGACCCTCAACTGTGCCCGACTGCTCAGCCACGCCCTTTCCCCGGGTCAGGCCACTTTCCAGCCCTTGCTGGCCTGAAGTGGTGGAGTTCACTTTTGTTGAGTGAATGTCTGCATTTTGCTTTAGTCAAGATGCTGTCTCTAAGCTTCTCCTCAGATACCATCAGATATGCCAGATTATTAAAAACCAGACTCTCTTGACTATGTTTGATTAGACCTTTTGCTAAAACCCTCCTGGGAGGAGGGTTTGGGTTGAGAGTCCCGTAACAGGGAGATGTGAGTGTTTTGGTAGAGAAGGAAATAGGTCATGTTTTTAACAGAGCTCCAGCGATGGCTGTTGGTATTCCTGTTTGTGATGCGTGTTTTGTATCTGAGAAATCAGCTGTACGTACAGCTTTCTAGCACCAGAATGGAGAATTAAGTTTATTTTCTGACCACTAAATTACTGCTTTTGTACATACCAAAGAGAGTTAGATATATCATTAACAAAATTGCTTTTGATTGTTTTAAATTATGCACCAAAACCGTAATTTCTAGAACAGGGCTTTCTAAAGATATCAAAAAAAAAAAAAAAAAAAAAAAGACACTGCCATTATATTAATGGTACTCGAGATGCAGATTTGTGCAATTTGGTTAGAATTAGAAATGCTCTCATCTGCCTGGCTCTTGTAGTCTGTACCTAAATATTAGGAAAAGTAGATTTTTCTCTCCTATTTGTATGAGAGATATCATCCTATATTCAGGAAAATTGGGTAATTGAATGAACTTAATTTACTCAAATATATTGAAAAAAAATTTTTTTTTAAGTTCGGAGTTAGCCTCTTTACTTGGTTTATTTGCAACTGTGCTTATTTTTTAGCATCTGCTATGTGTGCCAGGATTGTGCTAGGTATCTATACATATTTATACATCACAATTAATCTCTCAGTAAGCACACGAGTTAGGTAAGTATTAACTATATTTTACATATGAAAAAATATAGGCCCTGCAAGCTCAGAAAGTTGTCCAGAGTGACTCAGCTCTTACGGAGAGTAGTATGGATATCAACCGAAGTCCTGTTTTCGAGGTGGACAGGGATGTCACAACGCTGCCTTTCTCAGGGAGGGCGGAGCTCTCTCCTCACCATTGCAGCCTCCAGCCTGTGCAAAGTAGGACAAAACCGAAATGATTTTCTTTGTGGTCTTTGGTGACACAGTGAATCAGAAATCTCAAAGCTTAAGAACATCATTGCAGCCCAAGAGTGAAGTGAGGTTGTTCAGTTTTAGAGGCAAGAGGATGGACTTTAGAGATACACCTGTGATTGCATCGGTTCTGGCCACTGACCTGCTCTGAGTCCTCAAGTAAGTCACCTGACCTTTCTCAGCGGCTCACAAAGGGTCGTTGTAACCTAGACCCGAGGCCGGCATGATGGTTAAGCGAGGTCATCTGTGGCAAGTGCCTCGTGCATGGTTAAGAGCTCAGCTTGTGTGCTTTCCTGGCTCCCTTCTGTTTCCAAGCGAGAAGTTCCATGATGACGTGTTTAATAAGGTGGTAAGTGGGACTCTGTTCAGTGTCCATAAGGTAGCATTTTGTGCGGTGTTATTTTAGAACCGGCACTGGGTTGACTGACGGCAGTCTTCCAGCCTGAAATTGGCTTTGGCATTTGTGCACTTGGAGATATCTTTTCTGCTGCCATCTGACACACAGATTTGGATCCAAGAATAAAGATTGGTGGAGACTGAGGACCAAGCAAATGACTGTTATTTTGCAGTCCTCTTTGATGAGGCGTCCACCTCCTCCCAACTGGCCCCCTTCACCACCACCAGCTGTTCCTGTCCTCGAACCTGGTCTCTCCTCTTCCCTGGAATTCCAGGATGGAACGTGCCTCACTTTTCTTAACTGAGCAAGTAGAGTCTGAAGAGCTAGCTTGAGGTCCAGCTTGTCTGACCTTGTTGTATGACATCGACTGGTTGTTTGACATCTCAGTTCTTTGTCTGGAAAATAGGCGTGATAGCTTCTCTTATTCCGTGAGCCCTGGGAATACGAAGTTTACTTCAGGATTATGAGAGAATGTGCTTGAAAGCGTTTCACGTCGTAGAATGTGCGAGAAGGGGCTTTTCCTGTTTTTTCCTTCTTGAGGGACTTTGCTGATTTCCTCATCCCCAGGATCCCAAACAGTTCCAAATAGTTTCAGGTTCCTTCTCTTCCACTTAAAGAAATTTTTCGAAATAATAGCTTTATTTAGATATAATTCACATGTTAGAGAATTCATCCATTGAAAGTGTAAACGCAGTGGATTTTTAAAAATATATTCATAGAGCTGAGCAATCATTATCATAATCAGTTTTAGAACATGTTCATTATCTCCAAAGAAACCCTGAACCCTTTAGCAGTCACTTCCCATTTCCCCCTGACCTGCCACCCAGTAGCAGGTAACCGCTGATCTACTTTCTGTCTTTATGTGTTTACCTGTTCTGGATATTTCATATAAATGGAATCAGATAACGTGTGATCTTTGGCGACTGGCTTTTTCCACTCAGGTTCATTCATGGTGTAGTCTGTATCAGTACTTTATTTATGTTTATTGTCAAACGATAGTCCATTGTATGAATATCGTGCATTTTATCTATCCATTCATTAGTTGACAGACATTTGGATTGTTTCCACTTTTTGACTATTATGAATAATGTTGCTGTAAACTTTCATGTGCAGGTTTTGTGAGTACATAGGTCTTCATTTCTCCCAGGTATGTACCTGGGGGTGGAATTACTGGGTCACAGAGAAACCCTATGTTTAACCTTTCGAGGAACTACCAGACTGTTTTCTGAAGCAGCTGTACCTGGTTTACAGTTTCACCAGTAAATTGACAGTTCCAATTTCTCCACATCCTCGCCAACCCTTGTTATTATCTTTTTCATTATAGCTGTCAGAATGAGTAGGAAGTAGCAGTGTTTCATTGTAATTTGATTTACATTTCTCTGATGACTAATGAATTCAAGCATCTTTTCATGTGCCTGTTGGCCATATACGTATCTCCTTTTGAGAGATATCTATCAGAATTTATGCTCATCTTTTAATTGGATTATTTTTATTTTTATTACTGAGTTGTAATAGTTCTTTAGGTAGCTAGATTCAATCCCTCTCCTCAGCGTTTAAATATGTTTAAAATTTCCCCACTTGAAAGACATCTCCTTTTGACTTGAGTTATTGTTTGCATGTTTATTCCACAAATAGTTGTTGAGTACCTACTATATACTAGTTCTTGTGCTAGAAGCTGTGGATAGGGTATGACCAAGAAATGCAGTGTCCCCAAACTGTGGAGCAGAAGATACAGAAAGAACAAGTCATCGCAGAGGCAGTTAATTAGAATGGTACTAATGTTCTCCCCGGAGAATTGTAGGGGGCGGTGAGGATGTAACAGGGAGACCTGACCTGGTCTGGGAAATCAAGGCCCATTCTCTAAGGAAGGCACATTTGAGCCGAGTCCCGATGACTGTATTGGGATCAGTGGGAGAGGTGGGGTGGTAAGAAAGAGTATCCTGGGCAGAAGAGACAGCATATGCCAAGGCCCTGAGGTGGAAGGAATGGAACATGTGGAGGAACCGATACAGGGTGAGCGTGTGGCGGGAGAGGGGCCGTAACTCAGGCTGCAGGTCAGGCACAACATGTAGGCTGTGGTAAGGACCGTGACTTTGTCATAAGAGAACTGGGAAACAGTTAAAATAGTTTTAAGCAGAGGAGAAGAATGGTAGGTTTGCCTCTTCTGCCGCACTATGGAGAGTGGGTTAGAAAGGGCCAGAATGAATGTGGGGGACACTCCTGAGGCTGTGGCTGTGGCCCAGTGAGGGCCAACAGCGTCTTGGAGCTGGATGGTGGCAGTAGAGAATGGGAAGGGGTGAAAGAAATCAGAGACAAGTCGGGGGTTGGAATTAGCGGAACCTGGCGAGAGATGAAGTTTTTGATGACTATAAAGGGAAGTTTAAAAAGGACTCCCAGGTTTTTGGCTTGTGCAGTGAGTGCATGGTGGTGTGAGTCACCACGACAGAGATTGCTGAAGTGGCGTAGCTTTGGGGACATGGAGTGATAGAATGAAAGAGTTGAGTTTTCAGTTGACTTTGGAGCCCCTGTGAGCCACTGAAAGTGAAGATGTCTAGGATAGGCAGGTCAGGAGCTTTGGGCACAGGACGTGTTTATTGGATCAGTGACCCAGTAGCTGCTGAACACTTTAGTCAGGGGGGTTCTGGTGGACTAGCAGGGGTGGGAGGCAGGTTGGCTTGGATTGAGGAATGGGTGGGAAATGAGGAAATAGGTAAAGAGCAAGAAAATGTTTTCCAGGAGATTGCGTTGGACCAGGGACTGCCATATACTGAGCTTCTGGAATGTCCAGAGAAACAGTGGGCCAGGGCCAGGAGGGTGTCGAGGAGAAAAAGCTTGGCACCTGCCAAGCAGAGGAAGGACAGCAGACTGGAGGCAAACATAGAATGCCGTTCCAGGAACCGGAAGTCTGGACAGCGGTTTGAATTCTGTTTTTCAAGGTTGGCATGAGAACATTGACTGTGCGGCCAAGGCAAGTATATTCAGTGTTGTATACGTGTGTGTTTTCAGGATGCTAAAAAGTCCCGCTTGCCCATCCTCGTAAAACCATCCCGGTCGTCAGGAAGCGTGTCTCGGACCCCGGCCATGCAGGAGGTGGTGGCCCAGCTGCAGGGCCAGATCTTGGAGCTGCAGGAGGAGCTAAAGGAGTTTAAAACTCGCAATAAGCAACTTCACCAAAAGTTAATTCTGGCCGAAGCAGTGATGGAGGGGAGGCCAGCGCCAGACAAAACGCTACCGAAAGGTAAGCACCGAGAAAAATGTGTTCTCCGCCAGCTGGATGAACGACCCTCTAGAACTGCTCGAAATGTCAGCCTTGTTGTTTAAAATTGCAGTAAGTTGGAGTATAAATTTCACAAATTGCAGTGATTAATCTTGACTCTTGACAAATACACAATCAAGAGAACTCAATAAGGAAAATGGATCTATTGTTTTTGTTTTATTCCGGAGTCTGGATGAAGGGGGCTTGCAGTGCTCTCAGGTCTTGTGCGGTCACCTCTCCCTTCGTTTGGGATTGTCCTCAGGGGCCCAGTTGTGGGGCGACTTGAGTCTGGGCTTTCTTTCTGACTTTGTGGAGGCCTTGGGCACGTGGCGTTGGGTCTGTATGGCAGGGTCCTCTTGGTAGGGTTCTTTGGAATGCCCAGGGCTGGTTCCACACCCCGCTGGCCTATGCCTTCCTCTGGACGCGACCCCTGGGACAAAGGGTCAAGATTAGACTCCGTAGACTTGGAGGGGGCACCTCAGTGGGGTCCTCTAGTCTGGGATCGTGACCGCCATCCCTTTGAGAAGCTGAAGGAAGCTGAGGGCGCTCTCAGCACATGGGTGTGGTCGAACGCCGTTTTCAGAGGGTTCGTGAATCCACAAAAGTACTTACGTTGACTCCTGGTTTTGAACTTCTGCTCTAAGCAAATGCCAGCAGCCCACTGTAACAAGAACAACAGCAGCAATCTTTTCTTTATCTGTTCAAAAAGTGCGTATTAAACCCTCTTGTGTGCCAAGCACTGTCGTAGTCACTGGGGAGATAAGAGTGAACAAAACCCACGAAGTCTACGTCTAGCTTACATTCTTGTGGGCGGAGAAAGACAATAAGCCGATAAACAGGTATGTGATATGTGAGACGATGAGGGCTGTGGAGGAAAATAAAGTGGGGGTAGGGGGTGGGTAGTGAGGAGTGGGAGTAGGGCCTGCCGGCGTACGTGGAACGTTCGGGAGAACCTTCCTGGTGAGGCGGTAGCTAAACAAACTGAGAGGAAACGAGGGGCCTGGGCATCTTGGGAAGTGCCTTCCTAGCAGAAGGAACAAGGGCGAAGGCCCTGATGTTGCTCTGAGCTTGAGAAGCTGGACGAGTAGGGAGGAGGCCAGTTACCTGGCTGGAGCGGAGTGAGAAGGAGGGAGAGGGAGAGGCAAGGCCGGGAGCAGATGGAGCAGGCCCTCGCAGGCTCTTCCAGGGCTTTGTCTTTGGCCGTAGGTAAGATCGCAAGCTGTCGGAGGGTTTTGAGCAGCAGAGAGACATGATCTGACTTGAGCTTTAAAGCAGGGATTGCGAAACCACGGCCCGTGGGCCACGCTTGCTGCCTGTGTTTGTAAGATTTCATGGGGACACAGCCACACTCAGTCATTTGCGGATTGTCTATAACCGCTTTTGCACTACGAGGGCAGAGTTGAGTCATTGTGGTAGAGACCCTGTGGCTCATAAAGTTTAACCTATTTATTTTTTGGTTTTTAAGCTGACTTCTGCTGTAAAGAATCACTTTTAACGTGAGCCATTGGAAGGATGGAGTTGGCATACACTGAGATGGGAACACGGCAGCGGGGGCGGGCACTGTGTGAGAGACCAGCTGACCAACCCCATGGGTGACCATCCCAGTGGGCTACCATCCCAGTGGGTGACCATCCCTGTGGGTGGCCGTCCTGGTGGATGACTGTCCCCGTGGGCGACTGTCCCGGTGGGTGACCGTCCCCGTGGGCGACCATCCCCCTGGGGATGTCAGGTAGGCAGTCAGGTGGACACGTCCGGAGTCAAGGGGAGAGGTCTGGGCTGGAGCTGTAAACTTAGGAAAGATCGACATATTCCCGGCGTTTGAAGCTGTGGACTTGGAGACATGGGGAGTAGGCCCAGGAATTGAGCCTGGGGTTCTCCAGTAGGCAGAGGTCGGACTGAGAAGGAGCGGCCAGTGAGGCGGGAGGGGAGCCCTAGAGGATGATGCCCAGAAGCCGAGTGAAGAATGGATTAGCTGTGTCAAGTATCGCCAATCAGACGAGCGAGACGACGACTGAGGATCGGCCTTGGGGTCTAGCAGTGGGGGTGTCCTTGGTCACTTTGAAGGGAGCTGTTTCTGTGGAGCTCCCTTCTGGCCTGGGTTCCAGAGAGAGGACGCAGGGGAGCAGTTGGAGACAGCGGGGACAGGCAGCACTGAGGAATTTCACTGTCAAGGGGTGCAGAGAAGCAGGCCACTTAGGCACCACACTGTCAGTGAATCTCAAGAGGTTCAGTGAATCAGGTGACCGTGGGTGACTGCAGTCAAGTGGGGCCGGTGGTGGTGTCTGACAGCATGAACCGCAAAGCTGGAGAGGGGTGGTGCGGGAAAGAAACGTCCCTCCCTGGGGAGGAGGCAGGAGAAGCTCGTCGGGGTCAGCCCTGGTTCCCTTGGAATGAGAGAGTGAGATGAATGTGCAGGGAGGAGACTGAGGTTATTTGGGATTTTTCCAGTGAAGGGTTTGTTTGCATACCAGGGTGGGAAGATTGCATCGATTACGGCAGTGGTCCCCAACCTTTTTGGCACCACGGACCGGTGCTCCTATGAGAATCTGATGCCCGATGATGTTAGGAGTTGCTGAGGCGGTGATGCCAGCGCCAGGGAGCGGCTGCAAATACAAATGAAGCTTCGCTCTCTCACCCGCCTCTCTACTCAAACTGTGTGGCCCAGTTCCTCACAGGCCACGGACCAGAACCAGTCCACAGCCTGGGCTTTCGGGACCCCTGGATTAGGGGATTTCAGAGTGGTTCAGGGATGGGAAATGACTGGGAGCCTTGGACTTCCTGGGGCAGAAAAACACCAGTACCCATTGTTCATTCAGCCCTACAGTCCATTTTAAATACAAGATCTTATTGAATCCTCGTAACAGTCCTTTGAGGCACGTACAGTAAATACTTCTGTTTTCTAGTTGAAGCAGCAGTTTTAGAGGTAAAGTGACTTGGCCGCAGTCACACTGTTAGTAACTTCTGATCTAGGTTGGAGCCAGACGGCCTGATTTCAAGCCTGAGCCCTTCAGTGTTTCATAAAGCTAATGTGTGATACTTTGCCTATGGATTTTATGATCATCTATAGCCAGAGGTATTTTCCATTTAATTTTAGGTTCTTTCTTGGGTTCACCATAGTTAGGTTTCAAAACAAGTTGGCTTTTGGCAGAATTGCTCTTCCCCTCCCTCCCTCCTTTCCCACCTTCTCTTAATTCATCCACCTGCCCAACCGGGCATCCATTCACGGCATCCTTTCCCGGGTTCAGTGACCGTTCCCTGAGCACCTGCTGTGTCCCCAGCCTCGTGCACTGAGCGCAGGAGAGAGAGGGGGGAATGAGAGATAGTCTCTGCCTCTGAGAGCTCCCTGTCCACTGGGGCAAGGCAGATAGTTAACAGGTCAGTGCGGGGCAGGAGAGAGGGACACTTCAGAAAGGACAAATTTTATGGTAAGGGTGACTCAGCCCAGCAGAGGCCCGGGGGCTTTCCCCACGGCTTGCCATTTGCACCTGACAATATTTTTTTTTCTTGCCGAGACCCCAGGGTGCCCCAGCCAGGGGCTGCTTCTGCAGTTGCTCTGACGACCCTGGGGGCTTCGCGCTTCTTGGGCAAGGTGGGCACGAGTCTATAGAATTCATTTTCTCACTCACAGTTTTTTGAGAACCTGGATGTAAACCATTTCAGACAAGCTGTAGTATATTTATGCTTTTCATGTCCTGTTATGGCAGCTCGATAGATTAATTTTATCTTATAAATTGCATTTTGCCTCCCCAGTGTTTTTATTTCCCTGTTGTATTTTTGTGTTCTTCTCAGTTGCTTGGCTAAGTTTCAAGACTATGGTTTTATTTATTTTTCGTTCTCTTTGCGAATGCCTGGAGCCTGGCCCCTCGTAGGAGCAGCCTACCAGGACAGCCCCGGAGAGCAAAAAAGAACGCAAACCACGCTCTGTGTCTGGAGAATCAAAGGGGGGCAGTGATCAGCAAACCGGTTACGGCACCAGGCAGAATCCAACCCCTGTGTCTGTTGAACAGCTACTGTGTACCAGGCACCATTGGGGGTGTTTTATGTAAAAATTATTACTAAGCTCTGCAACAGTCATCTTAGGACGTCATCATTATTGCTGTTTAACACATGAGGAAGCCGAGGTTTTTCAAAAGACTCGATCTAGAGTCACTTAGTTGGTGAGGAGGTGGACGAGTCGGGGTACAGTAGGGTGTCTGCCTGAGCTTACCCGTCCGTTTGTCAGACACTTTTCAGTTAGGCAATGGGCCGCGTTCTGGCGGCTCAGCCCAAAAGGACACAGTGCCTGCTCTCAGGGGTCTCGGCCAGTCAGTGTTCTCCTTGGTGCCGGCTGTTGTCACGTCTGCACAGTTGACCTCCAGCCACCCGGGCAGGTGGGTCAGAGGTGAGACTGAGCTTCCACCTGTTTTATCGGGTTTATTGTCAATGGGCAAGGTACAGAGATGTGGGCGAAATACAAGCAAGTCGTATCTCTTTATTCTTAAAATTATAAATTTTTATAAACATACAGATAAGCACAAAGGATAGTATAACAACATTCGTGTTTCCATTCAGCCAGAATGAACAAATGCTTACAATTTTTCTTTTTACCCTAGGTCTTTTTTTCCCCTTCATTTAAAAAAAAGTCACCGTGAATCTGGATCTAATTCAACTCTGTAAGAAATAATCGTCTTTGGGAATTCTAAGTTTGTCTCGGGGCGGCCATGAGAATACCCGTGTCTGGAGAGACACTGAGTCTGGGCCCTATTCCCAATGGCGTCTGCTTCCCCAAGGCCCATTCAGTGCAATGACAATGTGGTCACCTGCTTCTGAGTGTTCTGAGCTTTGAGGAGAAGGCTATTCTACCATGTCATAAACTACCCCTTAGCTGAATTGTAGAAAGTTCCAAAACTACAGTATGTCCTGGGGACATCTTTTATTTCTTAGTTCATAGTTAATTGATTACTAAAGGCCCCTCGACTGACTTTTTCCCTTTTCCTCTCAAATCCCTACATTAGTGAACTTCTTTCCTTTTTCTTAATATGCTTCTAGAACTTTGTACATGTTGTCGTTTCTGCCTGAATGTCCCCTCTTTAACTGTTGCCTAACTGATGCCTCATCCTTTAGGCTTCTACTTAAATGTCACTTTCCAGGCAAGGCCTTCCCCAATCTCCCAATTATTTAGACACTTCTATTCCCTCCTCTCCCTCCCCCGCTATTTTGGTCTTGAATTGACTTACTCATGACTGTTAGATATTTGGGGATGAATGAAGGGGATTCCTCGGATGTCATTGGCCTTCCCATTGAGAGTTGAGTAGTGTCTCCCTTGCTTCTGCACCACTGACGTGGGAGACCTTGGTTGTGGAGGGTGGCATCAGGAGGCGGTGTTTGGAGTTAGAGGTGTGCTACCGGGCTTACTCGCCCTGAACCTTGGGCAAGTTCGAATCTCTCTAAGCCTTGATTTCCTCTTCTGTAAAATGGGGATACTAGTGATGCCTCATAGGGTTGTTATGAAAATTAAGCGGATAGCATGGACGAGGTGCCGGGCACCCAGGCCAGGTCCCGGCACATAGTTACATGTCCTAGGCCTTGCTAAAGGTGCAGGTTCACACCACACACTACAGCTTTTGACCCTCCCTCTCCCACACCCTGCAAAGCACCGATTTTTAAACGGAAAATGGAAGCAACTCCTTTGGATCCTTATCGAGGGCTGCTGAGCAGAGACTAGCAAAGCCGCATTGCCATGTTAATGCTGGCTTGCTGTGTACCAGCCTCGAGCCTAGAAAGCGCATCTTTACCTCTGCTGAATCATAAATTGCTGTAAGTCGGGACCCTTCTGAAGTGAAAATTGTGAATGTCAAGTGTCTGACTGTTAAGTTTGTTGTGTTGTAAGGAGCGAAGTTTAAAGTGGAGTGAATGTGAGAATGCACACCCCAGCCGTTCTGTGTGTGTAGCTAAACAGCAGAGCTGGCCACAGTCTGTATCACAGAAAGACATTCACGTAGGTCCCACCTTTGTCTTTGCCTCACGATTACTTAACAAAAGTTATCAGAACTGAGCTTTCTTCTCACCAGCGAACATTGCTTCTTGCCATGAAATTCCATTATCATGCGGTTGTTATAGCAAAGCTATTTCCTTGTCTTGGCGGGTGATTCCCTGGAAGAAAGCCTTATTGAAATCTCTCCCTCTGTCTCTCTGCCTCTGTCATGCTCATTCAGCCAGTGGTGCTTATTGAGAACCTTCTCTGCCCCAGGCCCCGTGCCAGGCACTGGAGACACAGAGATGAGTGACATGATCTCCACCCCGAAGGACCTCAGAGGCTAGTGATTATAACACAATTTGTCCAGTGAACATGCTGCATTAGGAATGCTTCCTTTAGGTCATGTAGCAGTTGCTCTCTAAAATAAAAAGGTTTGCTTTATGGTATTTGCTTGTGAGCAGAGATGAGAATGGGCTTAAAGTCATGAGGAGCAGTTGCAGAACCCAGAAATTGGAATACACAAGCCTGACAGATTTTTGTGTGCTTTTCTTTCTGAGAGATATTCTAGGTCATCTCATCCAATCCACATTGTTGCTTTTGGCAGCATTTCCCAGGTCCACAGCCTTTGCTCGGATGCCTCCTATGACAGGCTTCCTCTTCCATCTTTGAATAGTTTTAGGGAAGCAGACGACGTTGGGTTCCTTCACTGCTGTGTGCCAGACACTGTTGGTCTTTTTGCAGATATTGTTCCATTTGATCCTAAAAACAAAACAGACACAACCTCTCACATGACTGGTGTTCTCTCCATTTTGCAGATGAAGCTACTGAGGCTCAGAGAGATTAAGTAACTTGCCTAAGGTTATGTAACTAAGTGGCATTCAAGTAAACAGCAGAGCCAGAGTTTGAAACCAGGTCTGTTGGATTTCAAAGATGAGTTTTTCTATTAAATTATGTTGCCTCTTAAGTATTGAGATAACTCCTTATATTGTGCTGAGCTTTCTCTGGACAGCAGGCAGTGTGGTATGTGGTTAAGGACAGAAGCTCTGGGCTCAGGCCTGAGCTTGAAGCCTCCCAACAAGCATTGTAGTCATCTCTGGGGAAACTGAGGCTCTGAGATAGCAAGTTACTTGCCTAAGGCTGTGCAGCCAGCAAGTTGCAAAGCTGAGTGTGACCCCACCTCTCTGGCTTCATTGCTATATATTCCTTCTGCAGCACCAGCCCATCCCTCAAACACATTTGGCTGCATTTCCGGGGATTTAAACTAGCTGTAAGGAAATGTTTTCACAGGGTGGTGAGTCATTGAAGCAGCTCACTAAAGGAGACATCATGGCATCTCTTGGAAACTGGTAGACATGGAAATGAGAAGAAGGCTCTCGTCTGCTGTGGATTTTAGAATTACCGCTCTTTAACGTTACTTCACTCAGTACCTAGTATTTATCAGACCTCTGACTTCTGGCTGGGTACTGTACCAGGCTCAGAGAATATGAAGATGAAAGGCCAGTGAGGGAAATAACCTAAATAACTAATTACCATGTAAATAAATAAGCCGGTTGTAGTTCCTACATCAGCTCCCAGCATGTATTACCTTTGTCCCCAGGTAATATGTTTAAGGTGCTGTGGAAGCACAAAGGAGAGAATGTTTTGCATGGATTGGAGATGGACTTGCAGAAGAAGGAAAGTAGATCTGGGTGTTGAAGGTCAGGGGTTCTCCAGGCAGAGGGAAACGCAGGTGCGAAAGTGTGGAGGCACGGACCGCCTGGTGTGTGGAGGGGATTATGGCAAGTAGGGCATCTCGTAGGTGGTGCCAGGGGATGGTCCCAAAAAGCTCGCCTGGATCGTGCGGGCTCTCGGATGCTGCGAGGGAGGCGTTGGATTTGATCCTCAAGATAGTGGGGATGTCGATCAGTTTTAGATGGCAGGAGGTGGTTACCATGAACAGTGGCTCTGGGGAAGAGGATGGGCGGAGAGATAAGAGGGAAGACTAGAGTTAGGGAGGCTTGTTAGAAGGCTCTCGCCATGGTCTTGGCTTGGCAGTGGCTGTGAGGAAGAACAGGGGATGGATTTCAGCAAAGGAGATACTGACATAAATGTTTGATTTTCAGACTCTGAAATTTACCAGCCGACGGGATGGATTTCAGCAAAGGAGATACTGACAAATGTTTGATTTTCAGACTCTGAAATTTACCAGCCCAGTGACCTTGCCATCTTGCCAACGCTCAAAGAGAATCCTTCTGGAGATTTTCGGGGCACAACTTCAGTGGCTATTAACCTGAGTTCTAAGAGTCAGCTTTCCACTAAAGTCGGTGTGATTGGAACTGATCAGTCTGAGAACATCGATACCTCAAATGACACAGAAAACTTAAAACAGAAAATCCGTGACTTGGAAACCGAGCTCGAGAGCTACCGGAATTTCATATTTCAGCTTCAAAAGCACTCCCAGTGCAGCGAGGCCATTATCACAGTTTTGTGTGGGACAGAAGGGACCCAGGACGCCTTGAACAAGCCCAAGGGCAGTACTGATGAAGAAGAAATGACCTTTTCAAGTTTGCACCAAGTACGTTATGTGAAACACCTGAAAATCCTGCATCCGCTGGCCCCCGAGATGGTTGACGGCAAGATGCTGGAGAGCCTCGAACAGCAGCTAGCGGAACAGGAATGTGAGCTGCAGAAGGAGCAGAATCTGAACTTGGAACTTTTCAGCGAAATCCATAACCTGCAGAATAAGTTCAAAGATCTCTCGTCCTCAAGGTAGACCCGCCTCTGTCTTTTCCCACTGTTTAAGCCTGCAGTCCCCTTTGTTGCCACTACGTCAGAGCCCATAAGCTAAAAGGGACCTGTTGTGCCCTGGGGTGGGAGATGTGACCGTGGGGTGAAGGCAGCCAGGCCCTGCAGAGAACTGAAAACGAGGGTCACAGAGAATAGTGCCTGCATGCATGCTCGTCTTGTATCCTCTGAAACTGACAGGGCTGATTTTGCCCTTCTAGGGTTGGAGACTCAGGGTACAAGTCGCTCGCTGAGTGATAGCATGTTTGCCAGATGGCAGCGTTCATTCCGGGACCCCACCATTGGCTTTTACTGTGCCACAGAACTGAAACCGATGCCCTAGGCAGGCGGGCAGAATATAAATATTTTCCATATCTTTACCCTTTAAGGTCATCTTAGAGAAATAAGCCTGTGTTGAAAGAGAAGAATTCTTAGGTCATGAAGATGTTTAATGAGCACACATATATACTGTTTTGCTTCAATGAGATATGGCGAAATGAGATCATTTGTAAAGTCAACCTTCATTCATCACTAATTTGAGACAAACACATCGTTCTGAGTTGTCAGGAGCCAGAGTTAATTTTTCAAGACTTCCCAAACAGTGAGATTGAAGGAAGCTTGTATTTATTGGAAGGCAGTTGTATCAGACCTTCAGTTAGGCACTTTTCTTTTTTAA